ACATCTATATATTACTGGTCTTGTAATGTTTTATTTTCGTTTCTCAATATAGATACGTCTGAAACACTAAACAATTACTTATCTTTAGTGATGAACATTCTCATAATCATTTCAGTTCATAATCAACCATCTATTTAAGTGTTAGAAACCTTATATATATATATATATATATAGGTATATATTTTGTCAAAAATTCAACCAAACCACACACGTTTTATCTTTCGCACGCCTAAATCGTTTGCTTGTTAATTATTGTTGTATCTAGTGTTGTTCGCCTTACTGCCCCAAGATTAACTGAAATCAGCTTAATTATGGGGGCATTTTTTGATACCCGCATACCGAAATGTGCATTGACGATCTCTTAGTAATTGAAGTGTTGAGAATAAAATTTGATAAAATCAATACAGAGTGTGTTTTTCTAGTTATCGTGCAGTTATTAGAAGAAAAGATCTATGAATAAATATATCCATTGTGATTTGACACTAGTAACTAGTGTGATGTGTCTAGTCCTCTTGTTTGGTGCAGACTGAATTCTGTCAGTCAGGTTTTGCAATGTGGCCATCATTCTAGGTAGCTTGCCATCCATCACGGTGCACATTGATTTGATGATATTAGATGGTTGGAGGCAATCGGAAGCCTTGAATACAACTAAGTTTCGTGCTAGTTAGCACTCGTCAGCAAGGTGTATCTCCACTGGGTGACGCGGATTCGAATCTCAGAAGAGACATGAGTTCCTTCAAGGTTGCAGATACGCCTTGCTGACGAGTGTCAGATAGAACGCAACCTAAGTCCAAGGTTTACTGCCGATCGCCTCCAACCATCTAATGTCATTAAATATATCTATGCTTATGATTTAATAACTGGAAATAAACTTCATTTTGTCACCAGGTGTCCCTCATATATGACTGTTTTCTTAACTTCATTTTTGTATTATCGCATATCTGAGAACATTTTACGCTTAAATATTAACTGTTAGGTTTGAAATCTCATGGAAAATTCCCATTGTAACATATAGAAAATCAAAACAAGTGATTCAGCGAAGAGACTCTTTTCAACGAATATATCATCAAGCTGTACAGTCGTATATGATGTCGTTTTTAAGAAGTTATATCCGGTGAGGGAATTTAATCTTAGGTGTGAATGCATAAAATAATAATAATATGAAATGCAATTAAAACTAAAATGTTTGTGATTATAATCGTAGTTAAATGTCAAGTAGCACAGCAAATTAATGTCATATATAGAATAATTCATAGGAGGGATAGAACTTGAAAAAGGGTGTGCAATTATTGGATTAGTAGAAAAATCGAATAAAACAAAAACGTTACGTAATATTGTGTGAAATTTATTAGCATAGAATTTATCGTTGTAAAAAAGAATTGATTTAGAATGACAGGTGGAACAAGTGAAATAATACCGGGGACAGTTCAAAGTGAGAATAATGCCCACCCAAACATCGACTTTACACTTGAGACTGAATCCGACGGAATGTTCCACTTCCTCGACGTTCATCTGACAAGAAACTCCGACAACTCTCTGAAAAGGTCCGTATAAAAAAGCCTACATGGAATGGACAATTCATCAACTTTCAAAGCTTCGTGCCTCTGAGTAGAAAGAGGAACCTGATATACGCCCTTTCCTCGAGGATTAGGAAGATATGCAGTGAGGAAGTGATTGAAGAAGAACTGCGTAATCTCCGAAAAACCCTGATGGAAAATGGTTTCCCGCCCAGATTCATAGACAAGAACAAGTCAAATCCGTTCCAAAGGAAATACTTCTGCTCAATCTAGAATTCAAAGGTGATATTGAAGCAGAAATCCTTCGTAAACGCCTCTCCAAATCGCTAAGGAAAACATACTTCGCCGCGAGCCTACGACTGACGTTTTCCTGCAAGAAACTGTTCAGCCAGAACGCTAAACACAAGCTGTCGCATTGGGCCACCTCAACGTGTATACGCCAGTTTACTTGCTCTTGTGGAGCTGAGTACGTTGGCCGTACCATGCACCGACTTGAAAAACGCGCTCGTGAACACTATCCAGCCTGGTTAGTAAAAGGTGACCAAAAGCGTGTATACAGTTCAGTGACAGAACATCTAGTCAATTCAGGACATTCAGTGCCTTTCGGAAAATCCCTCAAAGTAATATACACGATTCAATCAAACCTATCAGAGGGAATGAAATCAAGACATCTAGGCAAAGCCAAGGCGCTAGCTATCCCAAAGCTCAAACCCATGCTTGTATTCAAAAGAAATACGTCCAACCCCTGTCCCTGCCATGACCATCATAAACAGGTAATTTTTTAGTAATGACCATCCCATCGCCCTTCTTATCTAAACTTCCTGTTTATTCATGTTATTTTTTTAATTTTTTCTTAATCCCTGTTTACACTACCATATTTTCATACCCGAACTTCGTGTTTATTTTATCATTTTACTATTTCGACATATATAATCCCTGATTGCATAAACAATTATTCACCACATTAGTTCTTATCCAAACATCCTGTCTGTTTTGTTATTTCTACATTTTTAACCCCTAATTGCACAATATGTCAATCTTCTCAGTAATTATGATGCTAATTTGTTCGAGTTTTATCCATCCCCCCGTTTATTATGGCATTCTAATTCCTTATTTTAAGTTTTATTAATTTGACCCTTAACCGGAAATTATTCTGGAACTTTCCCATCCATTTGATATAAATACACGAATGTACAGCTATCTAGTTGACGGTGACTTCGTCGAAAAGAAAATTTTCTTCGCTGCAATTGTCTTCTTAAAGTGAGAATAGTAATAATAACAATTGACGTAGTAAGGAAGAGTATACAAATTAAAAAGACAAAGTGAAAAAATGAAAAATTGGTAGAGGTAAAATATGATTGGGGATTACCATAGAGGGATTAAGACCATGAAAGTTGGAGGGGTTGAATGAACTTTTTCTGCTCACAGAGATCTGGCTTTTCTGTTTCGATGGCCAAAGCTTAAGCAATACAGATGAGTCGGGTACGTAGGGATTTACCTTGTAGATGACTTTAAAGTCAGAGGCTATAGAGATAGGGTGATCATTATCGACCAGATGTTCAATGATCGCACTTCTTATTGCTTCACTTGAAATCATTGACACAGGTGACAAAGTATCTACCAGAATAAATGAAGTTCTGGAATTTGTTAAATCTTGAGAAATATAAACTTTTCAGTAAAGACAACAATAACTGTTTTACACGATTAAACAGGGTCATTGGAGATTTCTAAACATTTTGGATATTGAACAAAGAATACTCTTTTGGATGAATTAGTCATCAGTTTCTGCAGGTATAAATCCACAGTATATATACTTTTTCATTCCTTTACATTTGCAGCGGAACATAAGGCTGCAAGCTGGGGCTTAAATTTTCGGTGGCAGTAGCATTTATTCTTACTGCATGGGGTTGCTAGCTCCATATCCAACCTTTCTTTTTCATCAGTCTTAATAGTGGCTTAGGGAGGTAAAGGAGTGCTCCTGTGGCCGGGAATCGAACTCCGAACCACATGAGGCGTGGTCGGCGAGCATTCTACCACTGTGCCACCGATGCCCAAATCCATAGTAATTAAAGAATTATTGCCACCTACAACATTGATGTTTTTTTTAAATAATATCAAATCAATGACATCCAGGTTGTCATTCCTAATCTGCAACATGAAGTGTCTAGGTTAGGTGCCTCATCCTGTATCTATCAATTAAACCTTACTCTTAGGGTCAGCTATTTAGAACTTAGTTTTTTATCTTCGGAAACACCTACCATTGTGGCTAAATGAAGGTATAATAAGAATCCTAATAAGTTAGATCTAAACGGATAACTAGGCTAACACAGAAAAATCCTTTTTCTGACGTCTTTCATGTGTCCAATAAACTGTCTGAAGGCACTAGGTACCGAATGCTACAAACAGCAAAAGACGTTGCAACTCTGCTAAAACAGCCAAAACTTTATGTACACAGAGAACAAGGCCAGTCACTATTGCTAGCTTGGCTTGCTGAGGAATAATATATATATATATATATATATAAATGAGACCTTCCATCCTGTTTGTGTAAATCCTTTGTATCTCTTATTAATGTACCGCAGCTGTTTTAATGCAGGTCTGAACTGCAATTTGCTTTGTAGACGACTCGCCTGTTAATTTATTCTGAGTAGGAACTCATATATATATATATATATATTATATATATATAATATGGCTGTTATAAACTTGAAAACACTGAAAATTCTTCTTCCCCTTTGAACTAGCCCCACAATCTTCTGTAAGTTTTAATCCCCCCTCACACGACCTCCCTTATGTCAGCTTTGGACCCACGTCCAACTCATTTTTTTCCATTTGAATTCCACTTGAGGCCCTCGACTGTGGTGTAACATAACGCTTCCCTCAGAGTGCGCTCAGTCCATCTTCATTTTTTATTTGCATATTTGTTGGACGATGGATTCTTAGTCATTTCCCTTTACTGACAGATTTCCTCGTTGCTTATCCATTCAGTCCATCTGATCTTGAGTATGAATTAAGCCATTGCAGTTGCTGGTGAAAGTCTGAAGCAGATGACTCTGTTAACCACAAAGATGAAGTGAATTGAAACGGGCTTTGATATTTTCATCTGTGTGACTTGTAGATAAGTGAAAAGGGTGGCTTCTTTAAGGTTTTTCTCACTAATAGTGATGATGCTTGTTGCTATAGCTACATTATAGAGATCAACATTATTATTGACTGATTGTTAGAGTATTTTTCATATTAAGACGTAGGACTAGTTGGACTCATCAACAGTATACACCCACCAGCTTTTGTACCCAAGACGTTCACGTTATAAGGCAAGCTCGTAGATCACTGAGCCTTGAAACCTGACTCAATGTATTACACTTCACTCTCACAGTAAACTATGCGGTGTTAATCAGCGATTCATATACATATGCTTCTTTAAACTGTGATGGTTATCCAGCATTATTTATTGATCTTTTTCTCTCTAATTTCTTATTTTAGTTTGTTCGTATCTCAGATGAAGATAAACTAGAAGATGTAATGACACTGATGAAAAGGTATTGGAAAATGATGGAACCAGAGAAACCAAGTTTATGCATATCTGTTATTGGTGGAGCAAAAAATTTTGTCCTTGAAGGACATAAAAAAGAAGTTTTTTATTCTGTAAGAAATGTTCCCTTTTTTTATACATTTTTACTTTTATTCATGGTACTTTATATAACTTTATTATTCAGTTACTCACGAGGGATGTAGGTACATCTAGATAACGAGTCCCAAGTAGGATGAAACTCACTTCCTGAATACTACTACTAGCCGCCAACAACTAAGCAGAACCTCTCATTGTTAGCTTACACTGATATTCTCAAAAAGTTTACACTTATAAGGATTAGTCGAGAGAAATGCTATGTTTGGAGTGGACTCACAATTTTGTTATATATCTCACTGTCTACTAACTCCTACAGAAGACTTAAGTTAGGTGGAGTGACTAAGAATGTTATGATTACATCATACAGGTAGTTTATGCAAGCAGAATCAATAAAATATTATAGTTTCAAAAGTCTGTAAACCTTTTTAAGGCAGACTTCGTTAAGAACTTACATAAGTTAGAAAATCACCGGCAGCCGAGGACATTTGGCAGCTATTTTGTATGCGTAAGTGGTCACGGATAAGAGGAAATACTATCTAGGATTGAACTCTGTCCGTGAAAATGATATGGGTCATTTGTCTGTCTGTCATCTATCTGACAGTCTCAATGAAATTGCTAGGTCTCTCAAGTAGTCTTGAACTACCAGACTCTCGGTATAATAGTTGGAAGGGCTAACCTTCTGAACCTACCACAACGTCATCTATCTGAACGTTAAATTTACTGTGATATATATGAAGCCAAAAGCGAACTTCTCTCATTGTATCTCAGTGCCAGAAGAAGAAGAGAAGACCGTTCATTGACTGAGACTATCCTGTCACTACAATATGCGACTCTTCAACATTATGCACCCATCGTCTAACACAAGATGAAACCCAAGACCCTCAGGATACAAACCGAACCAGTGGGACAGAATTCTGACTGTTGCCATATATATATATATATATATATATATATATATATATAATCCCAATGGTGAATGTTTGTCCTTACATTAGAATTGCTGAACCCTACTGATCGTGGATTCTCTGCAGTATTTACTGTTAAGTACTCTATCAGATTCTTGAACAAGGAGGCAGTGGATGAAGTCATCAACATGCAATGTGGAAAAAATTGTTTACTAGTATAGGGAGCGTCAAAAAAGGATGAAAAACTAGGAGAGAAATGCAGGGGGGGAGCAGCACACGAATAGTTTGTGCATACTAAGGTTTCAAAGTTATGTTGTTATATTTCACCATTACTGCATGCATTTCATCGAACCTTTTTGATAATCATTACTAATAATAACAATAAAGCTTTATTTCAGACAATATGTGAACACATAGTACAGGAGTTTTCAGCGTATTTCCTCTTCATAGAGAATATACATACAAAGTTATAATTTAAATGTTGGTTTGTAGGGATTTGATTGGTTACAGGACTTCATCATGAGCTGACATTGATTAGAGAACCAACCATTGGAAAACTTGCAGGGAGTGCTGGACAGCTGTTTCATCAGTACGCACCCAGCGATAAGGCTCGAACCCAGGACCGTCTGGTTACAAGGCGAGTTAGCTCGTATACCATTAAGCCTACCTATTCAGGTAGGTAGTTAGTTACCTGGGGTTCTAGTGAGGAGTCGTGACCAGTACGGTGCAGCGGGTCGGGTGTGAGGACAAATACTCGCCAAAGACATTGGCTAGTGGTCACGCTATGTCGTGAATTGGCAGGAGTTGGAATTCAAGAACCATTGGATCGGGTCTTTACGAGCTCGCCTTGTAACCAGAAGGTCCTGGTTTTGAACCCCGGTGGATGCGTACTGATGAAAGGTCTTAAACTAGGACGAAACAGCTGTCCAATCGTTCTCTAACCAATGTCAGCTCATGATGAAGTCTTATAATAATTTAATGTCTGTTATGTGACCCAGTATTGTTACATATGAAACGAGAACCAATTCTATAAATTTTTCCTTCAATTCCTTCAAGAACCACACAGAGTTTTATTGAAAGCCAATTAAATATGTGTGCCAGTTCATGTAATGATCATCTGATCTAACGACATGATTAAAACAATAAGAAATGAAGAGAAAGAAGAGCTTAAGCACTTTGATGGATGGGGGGGGAATTCTGGTAGCCAAGTAGGCCACCTTTGTGCTACTTGTCACATTGAGGAATTCAACAAAACTAACATCTTAAAAACCAAATAGGAGTATTATCATCAACCACGTATGAGTCCATGAAACCAACGGGGACCAGTATTCCACGTCTTTACGGTCTACCCAAAGTGCACAAACTGGGCCTTCCTCTTCGTCCTGTTTTAGATATGTATAACTCTCCATTTCATGGAACGGCGAAGTGCTTAGTGAACATTCTGGGTCCTTTGCACAGAGAAATCGTGCAACATAGAATTAGTGATGTGTTTGACTTTATTTCAAAAATATCCGAGACTAATGTGAGATATAAACGCATGTTATCCGTGGATGTATCATCACTATTCACTAATGTCCCGATTATGGGAAAACAGTAGATTACATTTGTCAAAAAATCACCGAAAGACAATTGGACTTAAGAATCCCCTGTGTTACGAAAGCCCTGATACAATGGGAGGCGATTTCGTCCAGGATAATGACCGCCAGGTTCAACTCCAAAGGAAGGAAAGTGTCAATCATACAATGTTATGCACCCACAAACAACGCAGACCTCGAGAAGAAAGAAGAATTCTACAGGCAACTACAGGCAACAATGGACAATACTCCAGCTGGCGACATGAAAATACTAATGGGAGACATGAACGCCAAACTGGGACCAGACAATACGGGAAGGGAACTCATCATGGGTAGAGAAGCTCTAGGAGAAATGAATGAAAACGGAGAACTCTTCGCCGACTTCTGCGCCTTCAACGAACTGGTGATTGGTGGCAGTGTATACAAGCACAAAGATATCCACAAGGCTACATGGGTGTCACCAGACGGGCAAACCAAAAACCAAATCGACTTCATCTCAATCTCAAGGAAGTGGAGGCGCAGCCTACTGGACACAAAAGCAAGAAGAGGAGCAGACGTTGGCTCAGACCACTATCTCGTACAAGGGACAATCCAAATCAAATTAAAAGCTTTCAGGGAATCAGGAGCTGCAGATAGACCACAAGCCAAGTTCAACACTCAAAAGCTGAAGGACCAGGCTACAAAGGACATCTTCATTGCAAGCATAAAGGACAAAGTCGAGACACAAATCAACACTAGCGAAGAGGTCGGCGTTGAAAAGCACTGGAACAACTTGAAAACGGTGTGGAGCCAAACCTGCATAGAAATTCTAGGCAGAAAAAAGAGACAGGACAAACAGTGGCTCACTACGGACACTTGGAAACTAATAGAAGAGAGAAGGACAGTGAAGCAAAAGATTATCCAGTGCACGGACGAGCAACAAAAACAGGAGCTGAATGCAAGCTACAATACACTGAACAAAAGAGTGAAGAAAAGTGCCAGGGAAGACAAAAGAAAATATTATGAAACCATGGCAAACGAAGCAGAACAAGCTGCAGGCAAAGGAGACCTCGCCACACTCTACCAAACAACTAGGAACCTTTCGGGCAAACGTTCGACACAGATTAAGCCAATAAAGGACGACAATGGAAAGTCAATCACCAAAGAGGTGGAACAGAGAAAGCACTGGGTTGAACACTTCAAAAGACTTCTAAATCGTCCGCCACCTACAACACGTCCAGCAATACCAACAACGGAAGCAGAACTACCAGTGAACACTGACCCCCCGACGAAATCAGAAGTCCTGAATGCAATCAAGATGCTTAAAACTGGGAAAACACCGGGACCAGATGGAATCCCAGCAGAGGCTTTGAAAATAGACCCAGAGACAACAGCGGACTTGATGACACCACTACTGGAGAAGGTGTGGAAAGAGGGCAAAGTACCCGAGGATTGGAAGAACAGTTACTTATTCAAACTTCCAAAGAAAGGAGACTTAAGTCAATGTAAAAACTGGCGTGGAATTATGCTTCTGTCCATTCCAAGCAAGATACTAAGTCGCATCATCCTGGAGAGAATCAAACAAGCCCTAGATGAAAAACTTCGTCCGGAACAGGCTGGATTCAGGAGAAACAAATCATGTATTGATCAAATCGCCACTCTACGGATCATCATTGAACAAAGCTTGGAATGGCAGTCACCTCTCTATCTCAACTTCATCGACTTTGAAAAGGCCTTCGACAGCGTCGATCGAGAGGTCATTTGGAAACTACTTCGCTACTACGGGGTCCCATCGACAATTATACACCTCATCCAACAGTTATACGACAATGCTGCATGCCAAGTAATCCACAACGGGAAACTTACGGAAGCCTTCGAAGTGAGGACGGGAGTGAGGCAAGGCTGTCTACTATCACCAATGATCTTCCTGATTGCAATTGATTGGATAATGCGACAGACAACGGCAACCAACGAGGGAACAGGCATAAAATGGACTGACACAAAAGACTTGGAGGATCTGGATTTCGCCGATGATATATGTCTGATTTCCCATAAACTGGAAGATATGCAAATGAAAAGTAACAAGTTGGCAGAAGAAGCATCAAAGATAGGACTTCACGTGAACATAGATAAAACAGAGATGATGAAGATTCCTTGCCAACATCAACAGCAACAACAGACCACAATAAGCATAAATGGGAAGAACCTGAAAGAAACAACCTCCTTCACCTACCTGGGAAGCATCGTCTCAACTACAGGCGGAACTGACGAGGACATCAAAGCCAGAATCGGAAAAGCAAGACAAGCTTTCATTACTCTCAAATCTGTGTGGAGGTCAACAGCAATCAGCATCAAAAATAAGATCCGGATTTTCAACTCCAATGTGAAGTCAGTGCTACTATACGGATCAGAGACTTGGCGAGTCATAAAGAGCATCTCAAACAAACTTCAAACCTTCATTAACAACTGTCTCCGCTCAATACTCAAGATCAGATGGCCAGAAAAGATCAGCAACAGGGATCTCTGGGAGCGAACCAATCAGGAACCGATTGTGAAACAAATAGGCAGAAAGAAATGGAGATGGATTGGCCATACGCTGAGGAAACCATCAAGTGACATCACTAGACAAGCCCTCGAGTGGAACCCGAAAGGGAGGCGGCGAGTTGGTCGTCCAAGGGTGACTTGGAGGAGGTCATGTGAAGAGGAGATGAAAGCATGTGGGCAGACCTGGAGCAGGGTGAAAAAGTTGTCAGAAAACCGAAGTCAATGGAGGTGCGCAGCTGAAGCCCTATGTTCCTCTAGGAACTAAAGGATACAATAATAATAATAATAATAATCCCCTGTGTAGCCTCAAAGAATTACTTCTCAAATGCACAATGAATGTGGACTTTGTCTTCAATAATTCTTACTACCCACAAGTAGATGGAATAGCTATGAGTTCACCACTAGGCCCAATGTTAGCTGACTTCTTTTTCTCAAAACTTGAAAACGGGAAATTGAAAGACGTCATCAAGGAGTTTGATATGAATTACCGATATGTCGACGATACATTTATCTTAGCTGATGGGAATGTTAACATAGATGAATTGTTGCTGAAATTCAACAACGTCCACCCTTCACTTACTTTTACTTATTTTTTATATTTTTTATGTATATTTATATATTTATATTATATTATATTTATTTACATTTTTTCTATGTGCGTCGGTGACACAGTGGTTAGGATTCTCGCCGAACATGCACATGGTCCGGGGTTCGAGCCCACGCCGGCGCACACCTGATATCTATGGTCGGCCTGCAAAATTTGGGCTACGATATCCATGCTGAAAATTCCATACTTCTACCAAAAAGTACTGTGTAGAATCAAGCTGTAATAAAAAATATATAAAAAAATATATCCCACCGAATCTTTTCAATAGACTTCGTATTCGTCTACTGCACACAGATGAGACAAGCGAACTATTAAACCTAAACTATACATTCAAAAGAAGTTCATACAGCCATTATCCCTTCCTTGGCCTATTAAGGCATAACCAACTAATGACTTCTACAACACCCCTTGTCTATATTTTCAACCCTTTTCTTATCATTCCCTTAATCTTATCACGTCTTCATTAAAAACGTGTCTCATTTACTTCCCTTACAATCTTAAAATAAGTAGAAGGATTTTGGTTGACTGTTACTAGTATTTTATCCTATTCGGGACTTGTTGCCTAGATGTACCTGCACTCCCAGCGAGTGATACTATTTATACTGAGTTTAGAACCTAGTTTCCACCAATTTAAATGCCAAATTGCTGTCCACTAGGACACGACCTCAATTATTATTTGTTCTAAGGTTAATTTTCATTTCTCTTCCACTAATTATGTTGGACCGAAGTGCTCAGTCTCTGTTGATGGCCTTATTTTAGGTATTATTATTATTGTATGGAGGATTTAATCATGAGCTGACATCAGTCAGAGAACCACTGGAAAACCAAATCCCTACAAAACCAATATTATTATTATTGCCCCTTTTAGTTCTTAGAGGAATATAGGGGTTCAGACGCGCGTCTTCATTGCGTTCGATTCTCTGCTAGAATCTTCACCTGACTCCAGGTCTGCCCACATGCTTACATCTCCTTTTCACATGACCTCCTCCAAGTCACCCTTGGACGACCAACTCACCGCTTCCCTTTCGAGTCCCACTCAAGGGCTTGTTTAGTGATGTCACTTGATGCTTTGTTTCCTCAGAGTATGGCAAATCCCCTTCCATTTCTTCCTGCCTATTTGTTGAACAATCAGTTCCTGGTTGGTTCACTCCCAGAGATCCCTGTTACTGGGCTTTATTGGCTGGCCATCTGATCTTGAGTAGTATTGAGCGAAGACAGCTGTTAATGAAAGTCTGTGGTTTGTTCGAAGTGCCCTTCGTGACGCGGCGTGGCGTCAAGTCCCTGATCCGTATAGTAGCACTGATTTCACATTGGAGTTGAAAATCCGGATGCTATTTTTGATGCAGAGTGCTGTTGGCCTCCACACAGACTTGAGAGTAATGAAAGCTTGTCTTGCTTTCCCGATTCTGGCTTTGATATCCTCGTCAGTTCCGCCTGTAGTTGAAACGATGCTTCCTAGGTAGGTAGGTAGGTAAGGAGGTTGTTTCTTTCAGGTTCTTCCCATTTATGCTGATTGTTTTCTGTTGTTGTTGCTGTTAATGTTGGCCAGGAATCTTCATCACATTTGTTTTCTCTGTGTTCACCTGAAGTCCTATCTTCTTTGGATGCTTCTTCTGCCAGTTAGTTGCTTTTCACCTTCATGTCTTCACTATTAGTCACCAGCAGTCAAGATAACCTAATAATAATGATTAGAAATCTACAGGGCGTCTCAATATTTCGTCTGAGTATGATCAGTCGACGGGAAATTCAAATTAACCTTAAAAACAAATAAGTAAAAGAATATTTTTCTTTCTTTTTAAAAAATTTTATTAAAAGGGTTTAGTTCAGGCTGCACAAACAACTCAAGCATGGATTGTAACATCTGGTTTAAACTTAGGCATTATACGTGTTGTCGGTGATGCTTTACAAGAACAATCATTTTGTACAGATAAACGAAAATTATCTCAACAATTACGATGTATTGGAATTGCTCCTTGGGGTTATGTATTAAATCGTAATACTCTTGTCAGTACGGAATATGAGGTAACTTACATTTATGTGGTTCCCTTCTTATTTGTTTTATTCCTTTGCGTTTTGAATAGAACTCTAGTATTATTTTTATAGGGTCAGGTGGTTAACCTCACTCCTAAATTTACCTCTTTCCCGGAATCACTACTGGATAGGTAAGGTTCACGAGTACCTCAACCGGGAAGTCAAACTGAACACGTGAGTGACTGACGACTGCTGAACCACTGAAGCACCAATACAACACACTTATGAAGCAATACAGATGAGTTGGGTAGGTAGGGATTTGGGTAAGTAACTCTTTGCCTTGTAGATGACTTTAAAGACGGAGGCTATAGAGGTAGGGTGATCATTATCGACCAGATGTTCAATGATCGTGCTCCTTATTGCTCCACTTCCACCTCTTTGTGACCCACTATGCAGGATAATGTTCTTGCACCCTCTTGGACAAAACTCGAGTCCAACGACCGATATACCTGGCTCCACAAGAGCAGGTGAATTGATAAACGCACATAGAGTTGATCAACATTGGGATCTTGTCCTTCAGGTTTTTGAACAATAATGGTCGGCTAGTAAAAGCTATTCTCAGAGAGGCAGCAGGGAATGTTCTTTTCAGGGACTGTGATATCCTTCGTTTCATGATATCGGAAGCTAAGTCCCCTTTAAACTCTAAGCTCATGTAAATTATTTTCTTGGGAGCGGTTGATAAGTCACGTTTTGTAGGCTTTGAATGTATATTCTTATCTATAAAACGTGGTGGAAATCCATTTTCCATTATGATTTTTCTCAAAGTGTATAACCCATCTTCCACAGTACCAGTGCTACATATGCGTCGAATACGAGTGGCAAGCGACCGGACCAGGTTTCGTTTTCGGCCAATGGGTACCCAGCTGTAGAAATTTGTCAGTTGGCTATTCCATAACAACTTACGATAAATCGATCTCTTCAGAGTTCCATCGGTCCTTCTTGATAAGTTCACATTGGGGAAATGAATGCTAGACTCGTTCTCCATTTCGAAAGTGAATTTTATCGCAGGATGGCACTCATTAAATACACTTAATATATTATTCATGTTACAATCAATATTACAAATAATAAAGGTGTCATCTACATACCTTTTTTACACTTGAAAGCTTTGGATTATAGGCTTCAGGGAACCATTTTCTAGGCTGGACATAAAAACGTCTGCAAGATGAGGACCCAAGGAAGAACCCATCGCATTACCATCCTTCTGCCTATAGATTGTTTCGTTGAAAGTAAACTGTACATTCAATGTACATCTCAAAAGTAGTTCTTTAAGATCTGTAGTGGGTATCCCTATATTCTATTTGTTGTCTTCAATATATTTGAATATAAAACATATGGTCTCTGTCAGTGGAACGTTCGTAAATAAGGATTCTACATCCAAAGACGACATTTGTTTATTCGACGCATTTATATCCTGTATACGTTCAGCAAATTGGAAGGTGTCCCGAAGGGAATGATTAGATAGTTGCCCCCTGACTATATATGACATTAATTTGCTTTGCCACTTGACACTTAACTACGATTATAATCAGAAAAAGTTTGTTCAACCCCTCCAACTTTCATGGTCTTAATCCCTGTATGCTAAAGTATGGTAATCCTTAATCAATTTTTGGCTCTAACAATTTTTCATTTTTCATTTTGTCTATTCAGTTTGTATACTCTTCCTTATTAAGTCAGTTGTTATTATTACTATTCTCAATTTGAACTGTCCCCGGTATTATTTCACTTGTTCCACTTGTCATTCTAAATCAATTCTTTTTACAACGATAAATTCTATGCTATCAAATTTCACACAATATTACGTAACGTTTTTATTTTATTCGATTTGTCAACTAATCATATAATTGCACACCCTTTTTCAAGTTCTATCCATCCTATGAATTATTCTATATATGTAAATTTCTCAATAATTAACTGTACACATGTGTTGCTTAAGTCAAGTCACAACCCCGTGCACTGGTATAGTCTTATGATAAAATAAGAAAAGGCTAGAGAACCTATGAGTACAGTTAGACTAAAATATGACGTAAGTTCTTGACTTTTGAATGAAGATATAAATACACTACTAATTGGCTAATATGAGTAGTTAGATACCCCTCAAATAGACCAGTACAGCTTTCACGCCAGACATCTCACAGAGTGACCAAAACATTAGATGGCCAATCTTCTAGTTCTGAGCAGAATGTACCAGTGGTGTAAGACTGGGTATCGACAATTCATGTTAGTCAATCAACAGTGTAGATGTATTCACCGTCATCCATTAAGATTTGAAGTGTTTCTGTTAATCCCTATAAGACTACTATTCTTTCTCCTCACACATATTATTACATTTCGGCAATACTTCTGTACCTGTTTTCATTTTCTCCTTTTAAGTTCTTTAAGCTTAGGGACTTAAAATGTACTGCTTCTGTGTAAAGTTTTGTTTTGATCGGTTGTTCTATGTTCTATGTCAATAAGTTTCCCCATGAATCATCACCTAGGTGACACATTTTTGCTTCCATGAACTTAGTGATACGTATGAATATTTTGAAAAAAATCTGAAAGCTCATGGGACATGATGTGTACAAGCTGGTCTTATTGTATGATACATTCAATCAATGAAGTTTGAGGTATTGAGTACATTTACTATATAAAAAGTGCTAGAAATTCTATCTAAGTCTCTAAATATTCATAAATATCTTTTTAAGGTTTAGTTGAAGCTCAGTAGATAATAACAATTATAAGCTTGAAAAAATCGTTATCTGAAACCCTGCAGTGACTGTGAGGTCAAAATAGTAGAACGAGGTCACTTTGATTATTCGAGTCCAAAAACCTAGTAAAATTTAGATTAGTTGACTCTAATAATAATAATCATAATAATTTGCTTTATTCCAAAACAATACTTGTGATACAGAATGGAATTCTCGGCATTTTACTACAATATTGCATCCAGTTAGTACATTAAGAATATATAAAATTCTACATAGATTATGGCTAATCTCAGTTATTTTTGGCAACAAAGCCAAAATTGAACAGAGTGTTTGAAGGTGTTAGAAAAGTATATACTAGCGTATTTACTGGCGTAAGTGGTAACAAAAAAGTCGAGATATACGGAGTGTGAAAGAACGAAGAAGAATGTTTTAAGTAGAGTTTGTAAGGAAGAAAGAAACAAAGCAGCACATAACAACACAAAAGAGAGAGAGAGAGAAAAGGAAAAGAAAGGAAGAAAACGTTGTACCTATAAATGATATGAGTTGGAAAGACGAGATCCAGTTGTTCTACTAACTGTTTAATAAGCTATAAGTTTTAGTGCATTCTTTATCGCACAGAACGCGAGCTAAGTAGGGTATGGTTGAGCTTTTGTACTTGCTAGTGCGAGCATATAGTTTCCTATATAGGCTTCTGGTTCTGCCTGATGAGATACAAGGGGAGAGTTGTGAATGATGAAGGTGGTATGAGCTAGATAAAATGGATTTAATCCATATGCCCGTCCACCAGAATATTTACAAACCGGTTAAGTGACACTTTGCTTACCCTGCTGACAACCTTTAACATTCTGTGTAATAAGGTATGGTCTTTCTTCAGTAGCCCTGGAAAAACTAAGGGGGAACAATAGGGAATAATAGGCAGGATGCAAGAGTTACTGAATCGTAGGAGTAAGGGTTGGGTTATTCCAGAATGTCTTAACTTCTTGATGTAGAAGGTAAGACGGAATATTTTTTCAGAAATCATCGAAATATGAGACGACCAGGAAAGATCAGCAGATAGAATGACGCCAAGATATTTAATTTCCGACTTGGTTTCTATTTCAGTGTCATCTATAGTGCACACCTCATGAGTGCTAACCACCAGTTTGTTTAGGTCAGATTTATGCCTAAAAAGTGGAATTGACTGTTTGACATTTGGAGGGATTTAAGGTGTGATCGTTTTTCTTGGACCACTGGCTGATTTCTGATAAAAAGCCATTTAATTTGGAGCAGTCACTTTGACATTTGACAGGCAAAGATACAGTCAGGTCGTCAGCATATTTAACAAAATTAATGTCATTTGAGGATGGTAAGTCATGTAGAAAGAAAGAGAAGAGAAGCTGGGAGAGTACAGCACCTTGGGGGGCACAAGTTGCTGTAAGATAAAAAATTTAAAAAAGTTACTCAACAGTTACACATAACCATATAATACAATAAGATAAGATGACAGTCTTGAAATTTAACGTGATAGGTTGGAGGAGAGTTCGATATCTAAAATTTCATTGATTGAGTTATCTGAAAATAATTGAAATGGCGAGGATTCAATGGTAGTTCAGGACATCTGGGAAACTCTGTTACCTCTACGACGAATGGGGTGTGTGTGTAGCTGGAAAACATAAGTCGGACTTCGGAGTTGTGTAGTTAAGACTGATATGATTATGTGAACAGTAATAAATCGTGTTCAAAACGTTGCCATCTAGTATTATTATTTTATTATTGTTCCCTTGGGTTCCTAGTGGAACATAGGGCTTAAACTGCACGTCTCTACTTGCTTCTGTCTTCTGTTGTACTTTTCACTGGTATCCATGTTAGTCCATACTCTTTCAACTCCTCTTCACACGATCTCATCCATGTCACCCTTGCACTGACGTCCCACTAGCCGCTTCCTTTTCTGCCTTGTTCCACTCGAGCAATGGCTTGACGCGTGCGCGATGTCACCCAACGGCCTCCTCAACCAGTGTCCAATCCATCTCCATCCACTTTCTCCTGCATATTTGTTGTTTGGCGATTGATTCTTGTTTTTTTTTGTTTGTTCCCACAGTTACTTGTTGGTGATTCTTTCCGGCCCGGCCATCTGATCTTCAGTATAGAGTCAGCGAAGACAGTTGTTGATATAGGTAACGTCTGCAAGAAGCTGTTGGAAATATTCTCTGTGACCTGCCGGCCAAGTTTCTGATCCGTATATACGTACAAATATATTAAAAATTCTAAAAATGCCATCTAGTAAACAGTGATATATCGCTGTGGGTTATATTCAATAAACAGATTAATATGGAATTGTTTCTGTACTTTTTATCTTTTCCGCTTTACTATCTTCAAGGGATTCGTTTCTGTGTAGACATTTTTGTTGTTTGATTACTCAGTTATTTACACATTCAGTCATCGTTTAGATAGCACACTGTTGAAACATTCTAATGGCTTGGGGGGAATAACATGTACACATTGGTGTCATTGCTAAAGGAAACTGGTGTTCCTCCAGACGCTTCACTCTGTCTCTCCAATACTCTTTTCTTTCTTCTTGTGTAACCTCCCGAATTCTTCCATAGCTGACTTCTTTAAATAACCTGGCTAACTAACTATTTCTGTCACAGTATTTCCTGCATTGGTTTGTTCTTATATGAACAGATTCTTGTCTGAAGTTAGTTAACAAATGGTCACACTCAAACGGTCTTAGACTAAATGTATCTAAATGTCATACTGTTTGTTGATTTTAGATTCAAATGCGAAAGAGACTTGAGTGGACTGATTTAGTCTCATGATTCATGTAATAATGATGACACTGTGATAGGAAGTAAATCAAATATCTCCTATCTCGGCATCACCTTCTCTTCAAATCTCTTTTGGTTGCCTATATCCTGTTGTTTTCCCATAAAATCTTTCATTTGACTAATTACATAAAGAAGCTGAGACTTTATGGCATCATACCTCGACCGCATCTCTTGCAACTTGCTCATGCATGCATTCTCCATGAACTTCTCAGAAGAGACTATATCATACTGCGTAGAACACTGAAGGCTTGTAAGGAGGATTAATAATGTGCCTCTAACTCAACTAACTGATACTATTGTTTTCGATAGGCATGACGCCAGAGGTATTTAAGTACGGTGGAGACAGCTTACTGTCCGGATTAACTGAGGTACTAGGCAGCGTTTGGGAATCAGAAGAAGTCCCATCGGGTTGGTGTAAGTCACTGATTATCCCCATATACAAGAAGGGAGACAAGTCTTCCTGTGATAATCACAGAGGGATTAGCTTGACTAATATAGTATCTAAAGTCTTAGGCTCAATAATCATGCGTAGACTGAGTGGTGCTCGGGAAGCACAAACACGAGAGAGCCAGGCAGGCTTTAGACCAGGAAGAGGGTGTATTGATCATATCTTCACCCTCCGACAGATTCTAGAACATAGGAATTCCTACCGGCGTCCAACAGTCATTATATTTCTTGACCTAAAGGCAGCATTCGACTCTGTCGATCGGGAAGTTCTCTGGAGATGCTTGGCTGTAAAGGGAATTCCAAGAAAATATATTGCACTGATTAAGGCACTCTACTCGTACTCATACAGCCAGGTGAGGGCTTACGGCGAGCTGTCATCTGAACTGATGACGACCAGTGGTGTCCGTCAAGGATGCCCATTATCTCCTTTTCTATTCAACTTCATCATAGATGTGTTAATGGACTTAACCCTAGGTGACTTCAGCGATTCAGGGATTGACTTGCTACCTGGGAATAATCTCGTTGACTTGGAATATGCAGACGATATAGTCCTTCTAGGCGAAGACGCTGACAAAATGCAGAGTCTTCTAAACACCTTGAACAGCAATCTACGAATGTTTGGCATGCGATTCGCTCCCGCCAAATGCAAGATGATGTTACAGGACTGGACTACATCGACGCCTAGTTTAAAAATAGGAAGTGAAGTGGTAGAGCACGTTGACCGCTTCACTTATTTGGGAAGTACCATCAGCCCCAACGGGCTGATCTCTGACGAAATCTCAGCACGAATACAAGGGGCTCGTTTCGCATTTGTTAGTTTACGCCGACTCTGGCGTAGACGAGATGTTCGACTATCGACCAAAGGGCGTGTGTACTGCTCATCAGTCCGCTCCGTCCTCCTTTATGGTTGTGAGACCTGGCCACTGAGAGTGGAAGACATGAAAAGACTAGCTGCCTTTGATCATAGGTGCCTGCGTTCTATTTCCCGTGTAAAGTGGCATAATAAGGTGAGCAACATGGAGGTTAGGCGTAGAGTTCTAGGTAAACAGGGGAAATCAATCGACGAAGTCGTGAAGCTACATCGACTGAGATGGTTAGGACATGTGTTACGTATGCCAAGCCATCGCCTCCCTCGACGAGCTATGTTAGCGGATATAGGGTCAGGCTGGAAAAAAGCTAGCGGCGGTCAAACAAAAACTTGGCATCAGTCAATGAAATCCACAACAGTTGGTCTTAGCCACGTAGGAAGGTGTAGACTTCCAGGCTGGGGTCCTCGGGACGGTAAAAATCTATGGTTGGAAACAATTGGTGACATGGCTCAAAATCGTTCTCAGTGGCGCAGATGCATCCACTCCCTGTGACTTATGATCTTCAATGAAACTGTTTTGTTCTTCGTTATTACTCCTTTGTCTCACACCTCTGCTCAATGTCTCTATTATGCTTTTCTTGTACTTTCTTCTCTTGCTTCGCGTGCTACACGGAATGTGGCGACTTGAACTTCCGCACATTTGTGCAAAGTTCTATGTCGAAAACAGACAGACAGACAGATAGGCATTTCAATTCTTGTGAGCAGTTGGCTAAAGGTATTATGCCTGATATCGATCATTCACTCTATTTGCTACTTTTTCTTCATATCTCTTCAGGAGTGAAACCAGGAGAAATCTCTTAAGAGCATATCCTCTTTCAGCTTCTAGTTATAGACTCTTCAAATCAGTAAGTGAAGTGCAAAGTGTAAGCGAAGGTGGTTATTACATGTATCGTTCATGATATTACCCATTTATGATTCATTATGCTTTCATCAACCTTCACTTTCTTTTGGTTTTGTTATTATTTTAAATTTTATGCACGTAGGTGTTTGCAAAAGGAGTTGAATTGTCGTAATATGGACATAAAAACGCTGAAAATTCCATTGTGTATATTTATTATTGTTTGGCATAAAATGATTATTATTATTTTTTTATTCAGTCAAAGTAGATTAAGATACCTCCATTTTGAGTTCCTGAAAAGCTTAATATATTTTAAAATATTGTTTGAAATATGACAGACAACATAAGCATGATGATGTTGAAGAAGTTGTCAAGGGAAGAAGCCCTTCCATTTTGACAGCATAATGTCAAAAGGATTACTTCTTTATTTTTTAGGATCATAACCATTCAACACCGTATACAGTTTCTACAGTTATCGAAACAGGACGCCCAGTTTCGCTGAATCAGAATCATACGCATTACATTTTTGTCGATGAAGGTAAACGATTAAGGTATGGTGGTAGTGAATCAGCTAGATTTCGTGCGAAGCTGGAGAAACAAATTGCCCTTCCAGAAGAAGGTGAGTAGACTTAAATTATGAGATTTATTATTATTATATATGTGTAAAACTTGGGCATTGTGGTAATAAGTAATTCCATATTAGTTTGTTTATTAGATATATCACACAGTCTGTGAAACAGTATTATTTACTGGATGACAAGGTTTCAAACACAATTTATTGTTCATAATCATATCAATTGTGGTCACACGACTTTGAAACTTGAGTTTTATAGTTTTCTTTGTCCTCTTCTGTTTGTCGTAGGGGGAGTAGAATTTTCCAGATATCCAACTGGACAGGTGTTGAATCATTCCCATTACACGTGTTTGCAGTTGATTCGATAAACAAAGCTTCTGTTACCATTCTCTTCCTCCACCCTGATGTTATATTAGATTTTAAAACTGTCATCTTACTCCATTCAGTTTATTGTATGGTTGTGTGTAAGTGCATGTTGTGAGTGGTATAGCTGAACTATTCTCTAGATTTCTTATCTTATTCGGGTCAACCAATCTAGATTTTGGGTAGGTGTTTATGCTTGGCTAGTCTGATACACGTAAAAGAAGCCTTGAAACTTAATATTTACCCTGAGAAATTAATCAGGAAATATGTAAGGAAATGTAAAAATAAAATAAATGATGATATTAGCGATAGTGATATTAATAATGATTATAATATTAGCGACGACACCAACAATAAGGAATCTAAATCATCAGTAGTAATTCTACACAAGGAAGGAACCTCGGAAACCTGACGCAGAATTTTTAAGAAGGCAGGTAGAAAAAATAGTGACTGGCATTCAAACCCACAAACTCAATTACAAACAAGCTTTGTCGGTTGAAGGACCAATCCTGTGGAGCCTTTGAAACAAAACAATTTAGTTTATCTAATACCCTGCTGGAATGATTGTCAGGTCAAATGCATAGGTCAAACTAGTAGAACAGGGGCAGTCAGACTAGCCGAACATAGAAACCTAGCAAAATCCAGATTAGTTGACCTAACTAAGATAAGAAATCTAGAGAATAGTTCAGCTATAGCACTCACTACATGCAATTACACACAACACTGCCATGAAATAGGATGGGATAGGATGACAGTTTTAAAATCTAATGTCACAGGGTGTGGAGGGAGAGATTGATAACAGAAGCTTTGTTTATCGAATCAGTGGCGAATACATGTAATAGAAACGATTCAACACCTGTCCGAGATATATGGGAAATTCTACTGCCCATAAGACAAATAGGAGACGACAAAGAAAACTATGAAACTCAAATCTCAAAGTCGTGTGACCACAATTGATATGATTATGAACAATAAATTGTGTTTGAAACCTTGTCATCCAGTAAATAATACTGTTTCACAGACTGTGTGATACATCTAATAAACAAACTAATATGGAATTATGAGATTTGTTGTTTGCATACTGTGTCTGTACATAGAGCAAAGGTAGGACAATTCAAAGAACGTAAATTCCTTTTCCAGAGGCACCATTTTCGGGAGTTGTATAAAAAAGTAAAAAAATCACCGTCGTATAAATGTTCATTGTTCAGGCATGTATAAGGAAAGGATTTCTTGTTGGAGAATAGTTCTCATCCCGTTGTTTTAATTTTTGTAGTCTAAAGTATTTCATTTAATCCCCTTATAACTGCACTATTATTATTATTTGATCTGTAAATTCCATACGGAAAATGAAGCCTCAGTGGTACATCTATTTTCTACTTGGTTTTATGCCAGCACTTCTAACTGGCTCTATGACTTTTGACATCTCGCTTTATTATGGTTTCTTCCATGTCATCCTTGGATACTAAAATCTTTCTTTCTCACTTGGGCTCAATTAGAGGGCTTAAGGTGTGGTGTCAGTCACTTCAGTGTTTCTCTCTGAGTACCTTCAATTCATTTTTGTTACCTTCTGCATATTAGTTGAGCTGGTTCACTGAACTTCCTGCGTTTCTTGTTGATAATTCATTCTGGCAGGTCGTCTGATCTTTAGTATAGATCCGGCGAAGGCATTTATTGAGGAATATATATAGATATACAGAAGCCAGTTGAAGATGCTTTGGTTGACATGGTACGCACCAAATTTCTGAACTACTATAATAGATGATTTATTTGAATCAGTTACTTTTAATTAGCTAATCAAGTGGTCTATCTCCAGATCAATTGATTTATGCATAGCTGTACACTTACATTACTTTATTATTGTTCCCTTTGGTTCCAAGCATAACATAATGCTTCAGTGGTAAGTCTCCAGTTTGTTCTATTTGTTTGCGATACTCTTCAGTTGGTCCAACGATTGCTCATAGTCTATGACCAACTTATCACACAACCTCTTGCATGTCGCCCTCAGATACACTCCCGACTGGTAATTTTCAATTCCGGCTCCACTCGAGCAATAGCCTGGCGCGCGATGTCATTCAGCGCGGTCTCCCTAGCATGGGCTTTATCCGTCTCCATTTTCTCCTACATATTTGTCAAAGGATAGCTTCTTAGTTGGTTCACTGACAGATTTTTATGTGTTGGTAATTCTTTCTGGTTAACCAGAAAAGATAGCGCTGTTGAAAAAGTCTGCAGTGTACTGTTGGAAATGCTTTTTGTGACACCTGAGCAGTGCAATTTCTAACCCGTATAGAAGAACTGACTGACTAAACATTTGTGTCTAACACATTCGAATCTTGTTGTTTAATGCTGAGTGAAGATTTTCAAACTGAATGTAGATTGATGAGGGCATGTCTTGTTTTTTTCTTTTCGATTCTGGTTTTGATATCTTCATCTGTGGTGTAGCCTGCAGCTGATTTACTGCCCGAATGAATGAATGAAGAAAGTGACCGCCTTCAAATTTATTCTGTTGATAGTGGCTGGCACATTCACAGTACTACAACCTTATGGTAAATCTCACTGTCAAATATTGCTTACACTTGGCATTCACCTTCATAGCTATATAACACCTAGAAGATGGGATTGAGAATTAAGTAATAGTGATTACTTAAAAATGACCTAATTATGCATTTAAATAACTAGTTCATCCAACACAAATATTCATATTAGAAGATAAATTATTATTATTTATTATTATTTCCGTTAGCTTCTAGAGGAACATAGGGCTTCAGCCACGCGTTTCCATTGCGTTCGGTTCTCTGCTAGAGTTTTCACCTTGCTCCAGGTCTGCACATGATTTCATCTCCTCATGACATGATCTCCTCTAAGTCACCCTCGCACCGATGACCAACTCGCCACTTCCCTTTCGGGTCCCACTCAAGGGCTTGTCCAGTGATGTCACTTGATGGTTTCCTCAGAGTATGGCCGATCCATCACCGTTTCTTCATCCTTATTTGTTGCACAATCGGTTCCTGGTTAGTTGGCTCATTGCGAGAGATCCTTGTTGCTGATCTTTTCTGGCAGGCCATCTGATCTTGAGTAGTATTGGGCGAAGGCGGTTGTTGATGGTCTGTAGTTTGTTTGAGGTGCTCTTCATGACGCGCAGTGCAAGTCTCTGATCCGTATAGTAGCACTGACTTCCATTGTAGTTAAAAATCCGGGTCTTATTTTTGGTGCTGAGTTCCTTTGACCTCACACAGACTTGAGAGTAGTGAAAGCTTATCTTGCTTTTCCGATCCACCCTTTGATATCCTCGTCAATTCCGTCCACCTGTAGTTGAAACGATGTTCCCAGGTAGGCAGAGGAGGTTGCTTCTTTCAGGTTCTTCCCATTTATGCTGATTGTTGTCTGTTGTTGTTGTTGGTCAGGAATCTTCATCACCTCTGTTTTAACTATGTTTAATTGGATCCTCATCTTTGATGCTTTTTATGCCAGCTTGTTGCTTTTAATTTGAATATCTTCCAGTTTGTGGGAAATCAGACATATATCATCGGCAAAGTCCAGATCCTCCAAGTTTATTGTGTGCCTCCGTCTTATGCCTGTTTCTTTGTTGCCCGTTGTCGGTCGCATTATCTAATCTACAGCAATCGGGAAAATCATTGGCGATAATAGACAGCCTTGCCTCACTCCCGTCCTCACTTCGATGGATTCTGTAAGTTTCTCGCTGTGGATTACTTGGCATGCAACTGTTGGATGGGATGTATAATTGTCGGCAGCACCGCGTAGCAGCGAAGTATTTGCCAAATCACCTCTCGGTGGACGCTGTCGAAGATGAATAACATGAATTAAAACTAACTGACCATAAATTTTGAAGTGTAATGAATAAATAAATAAATGGTGGAAAATAAAAATAAATCCATTGAAAACAGTTGCAGAGCACGGCGATTTTATATGCCCTCATACAAATCTAGAAAATAACCTATCGGATACGCTGTCTGGGTTGATTTTCCCTCTCACTACAGCTAACTTAATACTTGAAGGGTAATGTTTATATCGCTGCTTATTTATTTAAACTAGAATAAAACACTACTGGTAAAATTAGTGAGCTGAGCAATTTGATGAACATATTTTTATCTACATTAGCTACAGAGTTTAAATAACCACGAGCTTGAAAGTAACCTCTCCAACTATTCTTCTATTTTCAGTCTTAAAAATGAAAAATTTTTAATTCCCAATGTGACTAGTTAGATGAATTGTTTAACGTTGGAGGAAACTCGTTTATTCTTCGCAGATGTACGCTGATATTAGGTTTTCTGTAGTTTGAATTTTCACTAGCAATGGAGTAGTTTTTCACTGATTGAAGTTACTAGTCCTACGCCCAACAAAAACCCTATTCATGGAGCAGGACCAGCTAGCAAACTGGGCTACGATAATGGGATAGGCCATGGAAAGCAAGTAGACAAACATAGCTTGAAGTGAAAAAATACTTTAAAGGGTCACGGACGATTTATGTCCCATGTCGCTTAAACTCAAAGATTCTCAAGCAAAGACAAACAAGTTCTCAGAAGAAGCAGAAGAGACAGGATCTCAGGTGAACACAGAGAAGACAAAGGTTGTGAAGATAGCATAAAATGTCAAACGTCAAGGAGGAAATCTAAGGGGAACATTGTCTTTCATTTATTCAAACAGCATAGTCCCAAATACAAGCAAGTGTAACGGATGGAGCTGTCAAAGTCAGCAAGGATCGGTTAGGAAAGCAAGAAAGTTGTTCATCCTTCTCAAACTTATGTGATGATCTATATATAGTACCAGGTGCAAGAAACAAGATGTGGATTTTTTAACACTAAAGTGGTGTCAGTGCTTCTATGTGGTTCACAAACTTGGAGCGCACATCACAACAAGAGGCTACTGTACACTCATATTATTATCTGCTTTCGCCTCATTTTAAAGATCAAATGGAAAGCCAGATAAGATAAGCAAACAGAAAGGGATTTTTGCAGCAATCTAGTGAAGAAACGAATACCCCACAAATGTGCTGAGGGATATAAAGATAGGTTTAACATACTCTGATGAGACATTCTGGTGATATCAGACATCAGGCTGTCTTGGGTTGAAACCTCAACGGGAAGCAACGAGTTGGAAATCCAAAGATGATAAGTCGGAGATTTGATTTCCCCTACCAGTGGTTATAATTGCCTTGTAACACTTTTATAGTGTATATGATGATTGATCATTGTACATTAAGAAGTGTTGCGTTGTATACTATTTGTAACTGTCTGAATTCTGTCACCTATGTAGTAAATGTGGTGACCGAGTAACTGAGTGAGAGATAGTAAATGTTCACATAAAATGAAAATGAGATCTCTCCGTTTAGATTTGAGATGTTCACTAGCGACTGGCTCTATTCAGGTAAGTAGTTATCTGGTGGCAAGCCATGACCATTAGGGTGAAGCAGGTTGAATGTGAGAACAAATACTCGGAAGACACTGGCTAGCAGTCACGCTATGTCGTGAATTGGCAAAAGTTGGAATTCATGGTCTGGTCATTGGATAGGGTCCCAGTGGCTTAATGGTCTACGAGACAAATCGCCTTGTAACCAGAAGGACCTGGTTTCAAATCCTGTTGGTGGGTGCATACTACTGAAGAGTCCCAAACTAGGCTGACAAAACAGCTGTCCACTACTTTCAGGTTTTCCAATGGTTCTCTAACCAATATCAGCTCATGAATTAGAAAGTAAGTACGTTTTGTTTATCTTAGTTGTTCTTTTTTAAAGCAAATTACACTACACAACCTGCATTCAAATACAATCTAAGTGTTATTATTAATTTACAGAGGGTGGTTTCGGTATTCCGGTTGTTCTTGTCATCGTAGAAGGAGGTCATGACGTGTTTATCGATGCAAGAAATAGTATAAGAGAAAGAGTACCAGTTGTAATATGTTCTGGTACTGGTAGAGCAGCTGATATTTTAGATATGGCATTCAATTTTCGTTTAAAGAAAAAGTAAGTTCTTTTCTTTTTCAATTGTAATTCGTGTAAAATCTTGAAACAGAAAAGATATGAAAAATAACTTGTAATTAGCCTCTATAAAATCCATGTTAAACCTTTTTTACACGGTACTGAAAAGTGTGTAAGGTAACATGAACATATGTGACTATATTCACCGGTAGACTACTCGCCAACCACACACACACACACACACACAGTCTGGAGTTCTTTGCTCAGCCAACGTACTTCAAAACCTCGCCCAGCCAGTGGTAATCCTGATAAAGAGCGGGAGGTGGTGCTGGGTATTAGGCTAGCAACCTAACCCCGTAAAATAACACCACTGAAACTTCAGAGCTGAAGCTTGATGCTTTATATTCCACCCGGAAGGTAATGGAATAATGAAGTAAACCTGGTTGTCCACACACCAGCATACTCTTTTCCACCATGTGACTTAAACACACACGACGATCTACAAAAGACGCTGATATTCAGCCAGTGTTTGCTTTTTTCGTAACATTTGTGGCACCTCGTGGAATCCTCTTGTCAGATGTCGAAGCCTAAGCGAAGGTAAATTAATGAATATCCAATGAAACACAAAATGACTGAGCAAAGAATATCGTTTTCGATGATTTCCTCTTTTGGCTCTACAATTATACATATATATATATATATATATGTTTATATACATAGAATATTCTAGATTAGTAGCTACTAACAGTATTAGTGTTTTTTTAGATAATATCGACTTGTAAAGTATGATCACAATGGAATTACAGTTCATTAAAGATGCTTAAATAATAATAATAATAAAGATATAGTAGCGAATAGAATATCAACTAAAATTAGGAAAATTCCACAAAAATTCATGATCATTCAAACCTAGATGACCAAGGTAAGGATAATTTCTGAACTAACTTTTTTCGGATGCACAAATTAGGCTTGTTAATATGGATCCCGACGGCCAGCCTCAGAAATATCTAGTAAACAAACTCTTAAGGAAAAATTGAGATTCGTAGGTATGCGGTAAATGACCCTGAAAGCATGGTTAACATCAATCCTTTGTTCGGTATCCACAAGAGGAGATAGAATAGCGATACAAATAGATTTTGTTTGTCCTTTGCTTAACCACGCAGGGTGATGTTCTGAAATTCGGCAAGAAACACGCCTAATTGCGTGGCCTATGTAACTGGCTCACTCCACAGAAGCAGTTGAATTGGTCGATACACATGGAGGAGGCGAAATTAGGCGGTATGTCTTTTACTCCTGAACGCAAAAGAAAGGAGTGGTTTTGAATACACAGCGTAATTTGGCAGCAGCGCATTTCTAAGGCGCTGTGTCAGTATCTCGCGGATGTTGTCCCCAAGGAACTGCATTTTTAAGAATAAGCTCTTCCTTTTTCGGAACTGTTGGTACCTTGGACCGCCTTGATTTTAGAATCATATTCTTATCAATAAACTTTTCTGAATAGCCATTTTCATCTAGCAACCGTTTAATATTATTAAGTTCCTCATCAAGACATTAATCCAAGCAAATTGCTCCAGTGGGTTATGAAGCAAATACACACTTGAAACCTTGGACCATTACTTTTGTTGATATCACCCCTTAGTGGTTGATGCAAAGCCTGAGGGAACTGAAAGTCATATGATGCGAACTATCTGTTAAGACAAATCTACTCATCATTTAGTGGATACCTGAAAGAAAATCCTTATGATACGCATACATTTGAGGCCTCTTAATACGCTTTATTCAAAAGTAAATGGTATGAGAATAAAGCTCATAACAATTCAGAAAGATGATTTCAAATATCTTATATGACAATAACAATGTTTGATTTAGGTCATTTAGGTTAAAACCTGATAGGTTACTTGTATAGACAAGGAAAGTATAATCCTAAAGGAACAAGTAGTGGCCATCTAGCATATGCATTACTTCAAAATGAATTTGCGGTGAAGACTGACCATCCGCATCAGAAAAAACACCCATCTGAGCTGAAAATCTCCAGTACTTTAATATGTACAAAGGAAATGGATATAACTAAGTGCTAACAGAGAGGCTTTGTCGAATTAGTGGATGGTGACTATCAATGGATTCCAGGGCGGCATTTCGTTCTATTTGGGACTCTTCATCTGGATGTTGGCGTTTGAAACTATAGTCACTGCTTTCAAGCCTCGGTGAGAACATCATCACTCACTGAGGAATGCAGGTACATCCAACTGACGTGTCCTACACAGAATGAAGTGCGTATCCACTGCTTTTCACCATCAACCTATTAACTTATAGTTACATGCCCAGACATCGTCGAAACATCTGCACAAGAAGCCGACATGTCAACCTGAGTGTGACCGAGCACTTCGGTCCGATCAATCGATGGGAAAAACTAAAATTCAATTGAAAGAGAGACTGTGTGTTATTAGGTTAACAAGTACATTCAAATAATCAAATGTTAGTTCTGATTTCAACTTCTTTCAACCCCAAGAAAATTACATGTGTGTGTGTGTGTGGCTGAACTCTTTATGCTTTTTATTCCTGTTAATTTTATTTCTTAGTTTTCAAACTTAAGATTATGATTTAGTTGATTATAGACACCCGATTACTTCATTTTTTGAATAATTTAATAATAATAAAAATAGCTTTATTCTAAACAGTATTTGTGGTACAGGTATGGAATTTTCAGCTTGCATTACAATATATTGCATCTAATTACCTCATAAATTTTATAAGATTTTTAAAATCAAAAGGCAACACAAAAAGATAAATAAAAAAGTAAAAACAACAGCGTTGCGTTTACATTTTAAACAATGCACCACAGGATATGAAATATAAAATTGGTGTGTAGTAGAAGATGAGAACAACAGTGTAATAGTAACGAAGAAAGGAAAACAAAAACTAGTGGGACTATTTGTTAGAGTGCCGCAGTAAGTTGATCGTGTCATACCTAACGGATTTCTCATCACATAACAGCTGTGCCAGATATGGTATTGTGGAGTTTTTGTACTTGGTAGTCCTAGCATATAGCCTCCTTCCTATAGCTGCTTCTAGTTCTACCAGATAAAATGCAAGCAGAGAGAGCTGCGTATAGAGAGGATCCTCGGGGTCTGACAATATTGTACCCGCTAGTTTCTTACATGATATTATATGTCTATCCACAATAGTGTTAAGCAGTTGGTTTAACGATGTCCCACTTGCCCTACCAACGGCTTTTAGTGCTTTTCTCAGCAAAGCAAAGTCTTCTTAAGTAGTCCAGGAAAGATTAATGGAGAGCAGTAGAAGGGGATGGGTAGAATACAAGAATTTACAAACTGAGAGAGCATAGACTGCTTTATACCAGACTGTCTAAATTTCCTAACGTAGAACGTTAAGCGAAACATCTTTCTAGTAACTAGCAAGATGTGGGAGGACCAGAAAAGATCGGTGGAAAAACTCAGCCCAAGATACTTGACACTAGATGTATTTTCAATCTCTGTGCCGTCAATGATAGTGGGGCCATGTGAGCTAACTAGTTGTTGTTAAGCTAACTCGATTTTAGTAACATCTTCACAAATACATGGTTTCAAACATTTGGTTCCTTTGATAAATTTCGATAAGGAAAAGGAAGACGAAATTTACATTATAAAATGATATCATCATTCTATTTCACAGGTTCTCATCAGCTAACTGCAGACTACCTGAAATTACAATGTTACATAGATTAATATAACACACTTCAGTGTTTGATTCGTAGTAGAGAAGAGATACTAGAAAATTGACGTATCCAAAATGTGAGCATTACAATTTTTAGTTTAAGTTTTCATCATCAATTTATACTCTTTAAAGTTGAAAAGAGGAGGGAGGGGTAAGACAGAAAACAGAAAAAATTAATTAACACAACAGTGTTAGCTTGTAGGTTCACATACCAACTTAGAAAACAAAAGCAGTTACAGTTTATGAGATTAAGATTTGTTCAGTGAGCTGAGATCACTGAATTAGATGACTAATTAATGTAATCGGAATCAAAATTCAGTTACCAAGGGAGTGAGAGATTAATCACGATCTCTTTCTGTTGAAAAGAAGTAAGTGTTTATTTGTCTTTCATTCAAAGGAGATGCAGTGTCACAAAAGATTGACAAAAGACTGAAAGGTGCAATAAAAAGAAGATTCTCTGCAGCTAAACTCATGACATTATACAGCACTACTTCTTCTATAAGCCAATCAAAACTGCACCCTGTTGATGTCACCTCTAACTGCCTTTATGAATTTACGTTCACCTGCGGGAACAAGTAAATTGGAAAGACGGAAGAAGGGCTTCTATCTGGTTTTCTGAACATATTCGAAGAAAATTGTGCCTGAAAGGAAGCAAATATTCTCAGAGTGCAATCACCAGACATATTGTTGATACCGAACATCTCGTAGAGATTTCTAAGTCCTTCAAAATATTAAATAGACAAAAGATAGAAAATTTATTGCGATTTGCTGAAGCGATCGCAATCAAACGATTTAAATTAGACTTATGCATACAGACAGAGAGTGTGATTAACCTAACCCTAACCTCTCACTCCCTTGGTAACTGAATTTTGATTCCGATTACATTAATTAGTCATCTAATTCAGTGATCTCAGCTCACTGAACAAATCTTAATCTCATAAACTGTAACTGCTTTTGTTTTCTAAGTTGGTATGTGAACCTACAAGCTAACACTGTTGTGTTAATTAATTTTTTCTGTTTTCTGTCTTACCCCTCCCTCCTCTTTTCAACTTTAGAAGAGTATAAATTGATGATGAAAACTTAGACTAAAAATTGTAATGCTCACATTTTGGATACGTCAATTTTCTAGTATCTCTTCTCTACTACGAATCAAACACTGAAGTGTGTTATATTAATCTATGTAAACATTGTAATTTCAGGTAGTCTGCAGTTAGCTGATGAGAACCTGTGAAATAGAATGATGATATCATTTTATAATGTAAATTTCGTCTTCCTTTCTTTATCGGAATATATGGTTACTGCTCATATGGTTTATCCAAACGTTTACATCACATAATGTAGTACATTTTATTCAACTACTTCATTGGTTAGAATTTGTCGTCAGGTCAAGTGACTTTACTCTGATGAAAAAACACTCCATAGAAATTAGTTTAGCCGTCATGAAAATCTATGCATCGTATGATACTTTACAGCAGTTCCAGTCTTGTTTCTTTCCTTACCTTCAGTTAAACTTGCTACTAAAATTATCGTGGAAAACACCCATATGGACATTAGAAAGAAGAGAACACGAAGCTCAGCAAAGATGGCGATCTTTTCGGCGATTTCATTTTGAAAAGCTGTACAAGTTATACAGGGTTACAGCGAGTTACAGGTGTATAGAAAATTTGCATGAAAACGAAATTGAAATAATAATTTTTAACTTGAGATGGGAGTTAGGAGGTGTGTATATAGATGACAAGAGCCTTAGAAACACAAAAATTGCACAGGATTAAGATATAATTGTAAAATAGTTAATTTTTAAACGAATTATAAATGTGAGCAAGAAAAGCAGTGAAACAAACTTAAAATAACTGTTTTTATAACTGGAAAAAATGGGGTGAATCGAATGAAGACAGAGGGAGTAAGAATCACACATACATCGAACGAAAAAAGATAAAAAAGAAAAAAGAGAACGAAAGAAGAAAAAACGGAAACTTAGGGAACATACTGAACTAGGTCCATGATAGTTGTAGAGGTTGGACTAATTTATTTTGAACACATAGCTCTGGCTTCTCGATGCATATTGCGAGGGATTCTGCAGTAGACAGAAGTCGGAAACATACTGATTTTGGTAGGTTTCTGTTGACTTTGTAAATTACTTTAAAAGAATCATTTGAGATGTTTTGGGAGGTGTTGATCAGATGTTCAGTAATGGCACTTCTGATTGAACCGGTGCCTCTTCTTTCTCTAACACGTTTTGAAAAGACGTGCATACAACGACCTATCCATGTAAAATTACGTAATTAAATGCGATTGTACAGCTTTTGAAAATGAAATCGCCAAAGAGATACCTTGACTGAACTTCGTATTCTCTTCTACTACAATTATCAACTTGATAGTCGAGAAACAAACAAACCAATAATCTTTTCCACTATGGATTTCATCATGTACTCAGATCATTTACATGATCATTGGAAATCAAAAAACACTAGATTAGATTGTTTCGTCTTAGTTTGGTATTTTTTTTATCAGGAGATATCCACAATTCCACCAAGGATTGATAATAGGACCTTCAGGTTAGGAAGTAAATTCAGTGGGTTGAAACAGGTCAACCCAGGAATTCTAACCCCTATCAGTTCAAAATATATTACTAACGTTGTGGATGAATACTAACAAAGTGTTCTAAGTAGGCATAAAACATTTGTCCTAAGCTCTTTAGATTTCATTATTAATTTCTTTGATTCGTAACGAAGTCTATGTTAGAAGTAGCAATAATACCCCAGGGGAAACGCGTATTTACTTGTATTTTACTTGTATTGCAGACATGTCTCTAATGAAGTAATTAACAAAATCAGATGAAATTATATAATAATAAGATGAGTTGTGCGTAAGGCAACCAACTCCACCCCGCAGGAAAACATTGCATCTCTAGCAACAGAAGATAAGAGTTAGTCAACAGATGGTTTATTGAAAAAATCAAGAGATATTTATGGATTTTTATGTACATTATTGTCAGTGGAGAATTATCGTCTTCTGATTGGTTTTTTCTTGCTAAAGGTTATTCTGTACTGCTTGTGACCGTTTCTCAGAAAGTTAAGCCATATTTCTGCCAATCATAATTGCACATGTAAAGTCCTCTGTGAGTGGTTGGTGAGTTCCTTAAAATTAAGCTTTGTTAAGGTTTTTTTCCTCATGACTCTGATTACGGAAGTAACGCTGATGTAAACTGTTGTTTACAATTTTGGCTTGTTCGCATCCAGCTCCCACCACACATCTACTGAGACGTCGAAGCTCAAGTCTGAAGCCTTTGTTCTAATCAGAACACAAAGGAATGTAGTGATTCTTATGGAACTTTTTTTATCACTGAGTGATTTTTTTATTCATAAACCTTTCCTTTTTTTCTGTTCTTTTTTCATAACTTAATGAACTAATTGGATTCCGTACGGATGACAAGTCAATTTACATCATTTTCTGAGAAAGAAGTATTACTTTTAAGTCAAAAAATTAAACCTGTTTCTGGTAGAAATAAAGTTGAAGCTGCTTTGAAAATGATTGAATTTATTGTTAAAGATACAACTTTGATTACTACATTTGATATGAATAAATCAGATGACTTGGATTTGGCTATCCTATTTGCTTTGATTAAAACGTCTTCTGAATTAGACAAACAATTAGAACTGGCGTTGACCTGGGATAGAAGTGATATCGCTAGAGCAAAAATATTTCGTCAAGCGAAACAAGTAAATCCAGGTAGGTATTGTAATAATTTGAAAATTCCCACTTACATATTTAGAAAAAAACAAACAACACACTGAGCAAAGTAAGATATAATTCTTTTCATTTAGTTCCTCATCAGCGGCTTTACTCACGGATGTCTTTCATCAAAAGACATATACATCCGAGTCAGCCTATCAAATCAAAGGCTCCCAAAGAAAGTACAAAAAATCACCCTACCATATATAAAGGACATCTCAGAAATCACTACAAGACTCTTCAAACCTGTAGGAATTGACGTCGCACACAAACCGACGAAATCTCTTCACTCAGTTCTGTGTCAACCAAAAGACTCAACAACGAAAGAAGATAAAACCAACGCCATCTACAAAATAAATTGTAACAACTGTGAAAAACACTACAGTGACCGAAGTGGACGTCCTCTTCATATTTGTATTCATGATCATAAGCTAGCCGTCAAAAGAAATGACATCCACCCCCTCGCTCATATCATTCACTGCATACAGACAACGACGGACATCAATCGACTGGGACAACTTTCAGATATCAGAGAAAGGAAATACCAAGAATGCTAGAGAATTTTAGAAGCCACTTGGTATTCCAGTGAAACATCAATCATTAGACATATCGAGGTAGACAAAATTTACAACAGATAAGAGGGAGATGTCACACACAGAGTCAAAATTCAGGTCAAGGAAACCATCAACACCAATAGCAATACAAGTAGCCTAGAGGAAGTGAAAACACACAAGTACAACCGGTTACATTCAAGTCACCTGCCAGGAGAGATGACTAACAAACTCGTGGAGAAATGTAAAAGCTATTTTCACTTCAAATCGAAGTATACGCTGAAGATTTCGCCTGGTAGAGGCAATGAAAGCTTCGCAAATTAACTACCCAGCTCAGAGAACACAATCACATAAAAATCATCCACCTGAGCTACAAATCTTCTCCATCATATCTACGGCTTTACTTATTTTTACATCAAAATTAAACCAGTAATGAAATTAATCAATAACTTATAGGGTATAGGTTGGGTGAAAATCACTGATTACAAATCAACAAGACAGATAACTATTAGAGGCAGCAGTTGATTGCAAGTCAACAAGAAATTTAAGTTTGAGGTAGAAGACGAAGTGACGGGAATTACACAATTCAAGATCAATTAATGAACAAAGAATATTCTTTTCGATAATTTTATCATCAGATTGTACAGTTAAGTATCTGTAATTAGTAAAGGAATGCTTATTGTTGACAACATTAGGGGTTTTTCGAGAGTAATCTCGAATCCACCAATCGACCAGTGCAACTGCGCTTGTACAGAGAGTTATACTGGCCATTGCTCTAGCGATTTGAATTTTCCTGCTCGCTCAGGAACACCTACAAGTGTGGCTGAATAAAAGGTGTAGTGAGAAGCATCAGTAGCTCGATATTAGACCATCTGATTCAAATCGGCCACAAAGCCAGCATTGAAGAATCCTTCTCTATCATCCACCGGGTACCAAAAAAGTTGCTAAAAGCATTCAGGTACCAAATACTCCGAAAAATAAAGGATGCCGCGATTCGCCTTAAACAACCGGTACTCTGTGTACAGAAGAAACACGTCCAACCACCATCACTATCCTAACCTGCTGGGGAGTCTGTAAATTCATAAATACCTTCATCCTGTACATATAAAATCCCTTTACCCCTTGTTATTACACTTGCAAACAACTTTTGGAATTCCGATGTTAATGATTCGATTTTATTAATATTGTCAAGATCAGCCATTCTTTCATTATTATGGATATATACCTGTAGAACCTGATGATGAAGTTATCGAAAAGAATATTCTTCATTCACTAATCAATCTTTTAAAATTTCAAATGAACATCTTGGCTCATTTCAAGATCCGTTAAGGTGTAGAGGTTAGCAACAGGCTACTTCATAATCGATAGTTTGTAAATTGATGGTAACTAAGAAGAATAGGTGGTGCATCGGTGGCACAGCGGTTAGGACGCTCGCCGACCATGCATATGGTCTGAGGTTTTGATCCCCCGCCACCGACGCACTCCTTTACCTCGCTAAGCCAGAAATAATGCTGGTAAAGAGGAAAGGTTGAGCATGAGGCTAGCAACCTCATCCCGTGAAAATAAACCCACTGCTACAGAAACTTCAAGCCCCCAACTTGAAGCCCTATGTTCCCCCGGGAACGTGAAGGAAAAATTATTATTTATTATTATTATTTAAGAAGAATAGGTAGGTGAATCATGTACGAAAAAGTTAATCACTTCGGCCTAGAATAGTAATCATAGTAAAGCCATTTGTAATACTCCATACGTATTGTCTCGATGACTATGTCAAAGGCAGGGGCTAAGTGAATTTCTCATAAGCACACATGATTGGTTTGTTCAAATGAATTTCTATTGCCTCTTGTGTAATGTAAAAGTTGTACTCGTAAAGTATGCTAAAGCTTGAGTGGAATACGATAAATTAACTTCACTAAAGATCTGTTGGTATTCACTTGATATCCTATATCGATGAGATATGCTAGTATGTGGTTACGTATAGCCTAACTATGATGAATGGTGTTCAGAAATTCAATGATGAACTTGTATTTTCAGACTCTCGCTCAATGTAACTAGTTGGACAGCAGTATATAAACCGGCAAATACACATGGAAGAGGTGAAAATAGACAGTTTTTCATGGAGGATTTCATCATGAGCTGACATCATTTGGAGAACTGTTCCTGTCGTCCTAGTTTGGGACTCTTCATCAGTACGCACCCACCAGGGTTCGAACCCAGGACCTTCTGGTTACAAGGTGAACTCCTGGGTGCGTACTGATGAAGAGTCCCAAACTAGGACGACAGAAACAGTTAGCTGTCCAGTACTCCCAGGTGGGTTTTCCAGCGGTTCTCTAACTGATCTCAGTTCATGATGAAATCCTACATGGAGTCAAACAAAATCCCTACAAAACCAATACTTGAAGCCTTTTTTTCTCTTTATTTTGTGAACTAAGTACAGGTTGGCTAATGAATAAACGGCATTATTTAGGCGTGTTAAAGCTGTTTTCTGATAGAATGTACTTTGAAGACTTTAGGATTTCAGGTTATTTATTATTTGAGTTTCCTTATTTACAGATAACATTCATATATATATATATATATATATATATATATACAAAGTAGAAATAATTCTTATTTGCGTTTATTTTATATCCATAATTTTTTAGAAATTTTAGAACCAATTATGATGAAAGCTTTGTTAAGAAATAAAACAGATTTCGTACGAATTCTTTTACAAAATGGTGTTGTAATGCGTCAATTTTTAACATTTGAACGATTGCATCGTTTATACAATGAATCCACAGGATCAAATGATTTGATACGTTGTCTTAAAAATTACGATTTAATTCATCGAGAACATTCAACCCTGCCTAGTGCATATGTCAACTTCGGTCTTGTAGTACATTCACAGACAGGTGGTCATGATTTTCAACATTTATTTTCACGACAAGATAGAATTTATTTGTCAACTATATGCAAGTTACTGCGTCGTATGCTTGGACGATATACAAATAGAATATATGATATGGATACACTAGTATGTGTAAATGCTTTTTAATATATATACATATTTTTTCTAAATTTTTGGTACATTTCTTGAGTTCTGAGGAGAACATAGGATTATAGACTTGATGCCTTCCAATTTTCAGCAGCAGCAGCAGTTTTAATTTCAAGGTGTAGGTTTGCTAGTCTCAAGTCCAATCTTCCCTCTACATTCATGAAAGTACTACAGGCCAGTAAATTAATAGTTTAGGATTGTGTCGGTCAGGAGTCAGATCTGGACCACAGGTTTTGGACGGCACCTTCTGGAGAGAATCTTCAGTGGTTATTTCAGCATGAAGTTCACTTTATTAATTCCCCACGGATGAAGTATTTGTCTCTCCTAGTGTGTGTTGCTAAGATTTTTATATTCATATGTATCTGTTAGTTGCAAACTGATCTGAATACCAGAGTAGTGGGAATTTTCTGGAATTCTCCGTATATATTCCTTTCAAACATGATCATTTTTCCAGTTGAACTGATAATGTCCACAGTTGCACACATGGATCAAAAGTAACAAGTATATCTCATGTGTTCTGATCACTAGTTCACGTTCACAATCTAACAGAGTCTGTACACTCCATTATTATTATTACTGTTCCCTTGAGTTCCTAGTGGAACATAGGGTTTCAACTGTACGTCTCCACTTGCTTCTGTCTTCTGCTGTACTTTTCACCTGCATCCATGTTAGTCCATACTGTTTCAACTCCTCTTCATACGATCTTCTCCATGTCACCCTTGCACTGACGTCACAATCACCTCTTCCCTTTCGCATTCCACACAAGCAATGGCCTGACGCGTGCGCTATGTCACCAACCGGCTCCCGCAGCGAGTGTCCAATCCATCTCCATCCACTTTCTCCTGCATATTTGTTGGTTGGTGATTGGTTCTTGCTTTGTTTGTTTGTTCCCATAGTTTCCCATACTTGGTGATTCTTTCCGGCCCGACCCGGCCTTCTGATCTTCATTATAGAGCCAGCGAAGACAGTTGTTGGTTGATAAAGGTCAGCAACAGTCTTTTGGAAATATTCTTTGTGACCCACCCGCCAAGTTTCTCATCCGTATAGAATAACTGACTGACTTGACGTTTGTATTGAAAATTCGAGTAAATTTTGTTGTTGATGCTGAGTGAGGAAGATTTCCAGATTGGTTTCAGGTTGATGAATGTGTTTCTCGCCTTCACGATTCTCGCTCGATTTGACATCCTCGTCCGTTCCAACTGCCTGTAGTTGAGACAATGCTCCTAGATAAGTGGATGAAGTAACCTCTTTCAAATCCCTCACGCTGATTGCGATTGGCGCTGGATGTTTCTGCTGTTGTTGTTGGTTGGTTGGTTATTTTGATAACCTCCGTCTTGTCTATGTTCACTTGGAGTCCTGTCTTCGCCGGCTGCTTCTTCGATCAGGTTGTCGGTTTTCGCTTGTAAGTCTTTGATTCTGTCTGACATCAAACATAAGCAATCCACGCGCGAAATCCAGGTCTTCTAGGTTCTTCATGTCGGTCGAGGATATCCCTGTCTGCTCGTTTCTCACTCTACACTCCATACTCCATACAAGTTAAATGATCAAACAGCAAAAGAAGACTAAATCCGTGTCATCTATTATAAAATAGACTGCAGAAACTGAGAAAATACCTCGTTGGTTAGAAAGGATGTCACCTTCATCTTCGCACTCGTGAGCATAAATTAGCGGTCAAATACAAGTCACTACGTGTAGACGTCTTTGGAAGTCGGTTCAACTAAGACAACGTAAAACTATTAGATACAGATGTAGCACCAAAAATGCTACACAACTCTTGTTGGTCTGTAATTCAAATCAGTTTGCAGTTAATCTAAATGTGGAAACAGACTAAACCTGCCAGTCAACCAATACAAAAAGTTACTCGATCGAAAGTTCAAATATCAGGTGAATGAAAGGATCACTATGAGTACAAGTGAATCCAATAATAAGGAAATCTGTGCGGACAATCAGTCACATTGATGGTCAACAGGACAGACTTCAAATCAAATTCAGCACTGAAAATATCCAGAGTTGCAGGTTAAATCATCTATCTCTGAGTGTAGACTGACTTTAATGGTCACCATGGCCAAGTTAAACTTTAAGCACCACTAACTACTAATGGAGCGCGACCACACCAATGACCTTGAAACGCTCAATGAAGAAGTTAATGGAACCTGGCAGATAACGTTGTCATCATCAATAAAATGTGCTCATGGAAGTTTTGTGCTATCAAATTGAATATCTGGTAAGTTTCAGCTTACGTTTGAAAAAATTAAGTTATTGTTTAGGCCAAGGACAAGTCAGGGTCAGGATAACCTAATAAAGGCAACATCAGGGTGGGTTCAAGTTAGATTACAGTTAGTTTATGGATATTTTCACGTTAGAGTTACTTTCAGCAAAGCTTAAGGTCATTGTTAGGATAGGGTTAGAAGACCTGAATAATTACATGCATAGAATGTGGTTGAATTACTCTGTTGATATAAGAATAAAACTCGTGCACTGTGGTAGAGTATAATTCCATTGTGGGTAAAATTTATTTTGCTAAGGTCTCATAGTATTATACAGTAGTATTTACTGATGACTTTTGGAGCACAATTTGCTGTCCAGTAAATATTACTGTATAACACAATGAAACTTTATCAAAACACATTTTCAATTCATGGATAATCCCCATCCAGGCATTAATGAAAACAAAACACGTAGATCAGCGAAGAGTCTCTTTTCGGCGAATTCATTTTCTTAGCTGTACAATCGCAAATATATATATGGGTTATTTTGTATGTATGTGTACATTAAGTTTGTCCAACAAAATTACAATTGGTTAAGATTATTTTAACTAAACAGGTGAAGGTTGGTAATACAAGTCAAGAAAATTAAGTGTTAATGAAACTGGGGTAGTAACAAAGGTGGTGAGTTGTCACAAACAGTTGGTAAAAGAAGTTATGTAACAATAATATGAATAGTTTGATGAGTGAGTTTTACTCAGGATGCACATAGAACAAAGTAGATAATAAGAAATTATGTAAGAGAACTCAGTGAATACAAAAATTATAAACAATTAAAGAACAGGCAAAGAAACCAAATTAAGTCATCAAAATAATAAATAAAAAACTCAAAACAAATCAAAGCATTGTTACCATGAAAGTAGAAGTGGTTGAGTAATCCTCTTTTATATGCTCTGCTTCGGTTTTTCTATGTGAATGGTCAGAGCTTCAGCAATACAAAGGAGACAAACCGTATTGCCTTTGATAGGTTAGTTATTCTAACCTCTGTAGATTACTTTGAAGCAGGAGGCGTTTGTTGAAATGGAATGATCATTGTTAACCAGGTGTTCAGTTATCGCACTCCTTATTACACCACTATCACCTTTCCGCAACCATGCTGGATAGTGTTCTTGAATCGTCTTGGACAGGGTGCGCGTCGAACGACTGATGTACCTGGCTCCACAACAGCGGGTGAACTGATATATACACACAGAAGTGGTCAGATGCTGGATCTTGTCCTTGAAGCTTCTGCAGATCAGTGGGCGACTGGAGAACACTATTCTTAGCGCTGCTGTAACGAATGTTTTTCTCAGAGATGATATGATCCTTCTCTTGAGAATATCGCTTGCTAAATCTCCCTTGAAATCAAAATTCATATAGAGTTTTCTTTTAGGCGCAATTAAAATTTCATTTCTCCGAATTCTTGGTTTGATATTTTTACCCACAATGGTATTGTACTCTGTTGATACACCAATCTAAAACTGAGAGCTACTTTTATCACATGTGAGAGAAAGGTATCCTCTGTAACATTTTTCAACAGATTTTATGCATTTGTTTTCATAAATACATGTATTCCATACACAAAAATGTCTCCTTCACGTGATTTGTGAATTCGAGGTCATCTACTGATTAGTAGTTAGGGGTGCTTAAAGAGTAACTTTGGCTTCACCACTGATAATTGAGTACATTTAATTTTGATTATTAATTCATTTTGTTGTGGTTGGTTTGTTCTTTCAATTAAGTGTAGTAGTGGAGCACTGTGGTATCATGTAATTGCATGCTAGATAAATTTTATTTCAAATGTCTCGCAGTGATGCAGCATTAATAATTGGATAATGTTTCAAGCATTGTCCATAATAATAATACCAGTTTATTCTCACGTCCTCACAGTTTTTCATATACATACATATTCTCTGTTTCTCTCTTCTATTCTCCATGTTGTTCGTGTTGTCACTTTCATATCTCCAGTATAGACGTTGCATCATTTCGATCTCACATGTGCGATGTTGAATCCAAAAAATAAGGATTCTACAATTAACCTCTGCCTGTCCGCTTAAATATTTTGCTTTTTAATACTCCCACCGTGCCTCATTCTATTGTGTGTTTATTTGCAAGTGAATATATAATGCAATGGCCGAGCACCTTTCTAGGTTATTTAACTTATCAGGGTCTATCATTTTAGGTATAGCCAAATTTTTCAGCAAAGTAACCCAGCAGGAACCGATTGTGCAACAAATATGCAGGAAGAAGTGGAGATGGATTGGCCATACTCTGAGGAAACGAATCCTCAAGTGACATCACACGCAAGACCATCACTCGAGTGGAACCTGAGTGGGAAGCGACGAGTTAGTTGGTAGTCAGTGCGAGGGTGAAAGGGAGAAGGTCATGTGAAGAGGAGATGAAAGCATGTGGGCAGACTTGGAGGCAGGTGAAAACGCTGGCAGATAACCGAACGCAATAGAGACGTGCAGCTGAAGCCCTATGTTCCTCTAGGAACTAAAGGAAACAATAATAATAATAATCCTTGATGAAAAAGTCTAGTGACTAAAGGCTGAAACGAAAACTTGCATCAATGTAGGATTAGAACTAGTTTTCATATAGGTTTGATTCCTACCGTGCCTAATCGTTTTGTTCTAAGTGAAGTCACCATTCCCGCATAATATGCAATCAATTTTAAATTTGGATCAGTGTCGATAACTAATATCACTTACAATAGCAACCTCTTAGTGCCTTACAGAATGAATGTTGGATATATGCAATGTAGCAACTTAAATCTTAAATGTACATGAACCTGTCGTGGTTAAATTACTTATTATAACCGCCAAAGGCTTACACAATCGTAAAAGATCCTCCTCTATGTAATCCACAACTTTTTCAACAAAATAAAAGTAGTTCATTAGGTATACATACGGTAGAAATGGGTCACTTAACTGTATCACTCACTTCCTGACAGACATCTAAATCAGGAAATTCGATTCAGACTAGGAAGAAGGATTTTCACTAATGATTGTGAATGACAGCTGTAGACGTGACGTTTCTTTGAAATCCGATACAGTTAAATGTAAAGCTGGATATGATTTTTGCATTTTGATAATCATGATCAAGTTGTATCCTTAATCTGAAGGAAGAGATATAGGCCGGAATTTCTCATTGTTGATGTACAAGATGTTAAATCGGTTATTTTCTGAGATGTGCTTTCTATTCTTTTGTGTTCCTAAGCGAAAAATACGACTTTATGCTGCAACCTTGAAGTTTAATTAGCGTTGATGCTGCTTCCGTTGGGTGGGACTGACAGCCTTACAGAAAGATTAACCTGTCATCAACAGCCAGGCGAGGCTTCAGAAGAATTTTAGCTGAGAATCGAAGCAGGATCACCAAGACTCACTTTCTGAAGATCATTTGAACTAAATATAACAGATCTTGGAAGAAATGTTAGAGGTTGCAGAAAGAGAACTAAGCTTAATTCACTGTAGGGGGTTTAAATGTTGACGAACAATGATTACATTCCTAGTACCTTATGTTGTACTACGTCGTATACCTATTATAATACCTTGATAGAAGTTCTTTAAAACATGATGCCTAGGATAACTTCCATCCTGATGTTTTGTCGAATATTCATTTAAAGGTCAACGCAAATTAAAATTGGATGTTCAAGAATCTGCTCTTAAAGCAGTCAGTTCTCTTTATGAATTTCGACAACACAATAAAAAGACGTAGTTTATCTGAAACATGTAATGTATTGGTGCAACACATTTCGGACAACCGTCTGATCACACACACACACACAGAGTACTTGTCATACACAGTTTTTATAGAAGGCAAGAAGGCATGAATAATTACAATACAGGTTGTCAGATTGTGTACATGTCAAGGTCACAAATAATGTGGGTAGGGAGACGCAAAAGGTGTGGGCGAGATAGATAAAAACAGAAAAGAGAAAAACAAGGCAAAGAAGAGGCTGAAAATATTATGAAGTAAATTGGTCCTTGACTCTAAGTTGGATTACCAAGGCAGATTTAAGGTAATAACAAATAACTTTTGGACACATAAGACAGACAGGTTTAAGTCTTTTTGTGGCTGAGGCTTCAGTGAAGTTAAGTACGTGGCCTAACTTTGTTTTATATACGGGCTTAAATGCATTGTTGAAATCAACCTTATGTTTGTTAAAGCGCATTCACCGTATATGTACCGCCGATACAATTGAAGAAGGAAGACAACATCTCACTGAAATATTGTTAGATAACAATTACCCACTGAGATTTATTAGACGTTACGAAAGTGTCAACCATATAGCTTTACCAATCCAATCAGTTGTCAGAAAGGATGTTTACAAATCCTTGCTGTTCAGAGGTGATCAACAAAGTCTAGTCACTAGACAAAGACTTGAGGCTGCAATTAATAGAACCTATTATGCAGCTAAACTTATCTTCATAGAGAAAACGAGAATTATCCTATCCTGTAAACCCTCACATTATCCGGACGATAGTGTCACATCCCACTGTGTTTATCAATTTACATGTTTGTGTGGAGACACGTACATACGGAGGACCCATCGGTCTCTGCATGTTAGGGCTACAGAACACATTCTAAAGTGGCTGCAACAACAAATGAAATCGCCGGATACAATTGACCCGGGAAATAGATGTCCAACATCATCTATAGCGAAGCAAATGATAGAGACGGGTCATAAGGTTGATTTCAACAATGCATTTAAGCCCGTATATAAAACAAAGTTAGGCCACGTACTTAACTTCACTGAAGCCTCAGCCACAAAAAGACTTAAACCTGTCTGTCTTATGTGTCCAAAAGTTATTTGTTATTACCTTAAATCTGCCTTGGTAATCCAACTTAGAGTCAAGGACCAATTTACTTCATAATATTTTCAGCCCCTTCTTTGCCTTGTTTTTCTCTTTTCTGTTTTTATCTATCTCGCCCACACCTTTTGCGTCTCCCTACCCACATTATTTGTGACCTTGACATGTACACAATCTGACAACCTGTATTGTAATTATTCATGCCTTCTTGCCTTCTATAAAAACTGTGTATGACAAGTACTCGTGTGTGTGTGTGTGATCAGACGGTTGTCCGAAATGTGTTGCACCAATACATTACACGTTTCAGATAAACTACGTCTTTTTATTGTGTTGTCAAAATCTGCTCTTACCTGTGTTTTGTCAACCATAATGCAACAGCAGTGATTCATTGGCATTTTAAGCAATACTTGTTTTCTACATACATCATGGAAAAATCTCATACGAAAGTGTTAAGTTAAATTGATCATACTTGTGGGGAGAATTACATACAGTTATGTTACTCAATTCGTACAACAGATTATAATAATGTGTTTACTTTTATCTTTTTACTTAGACCTTACATAGTCAGAGAACTGAGTGGGATGAAGTATGCAAGCTAACATTCGTCTTACCCTTTCAGGTGAGTTTACTTTTGCCTACCTACATCTGTTAACTACGGCTTATTATACTTTTACTGCATACTTGTCATATGAAAGATTTGCGTGCAATCTAATTCGTCTATGTGCTTAACCTGCATATCTGAGCAAATCTGTTGCTATGAAACTTTAGATATATTAAGGAGAATGCCTCAACTGAAGAGATTAAAATCTTATCCTGACAAAAATTCGGAGCTCTACGTTCCAGTGGAAGGTCTGACTTCAAATGTGCCTAGACCATTCTTCATGCTCACATCATTCTGGTTTCACTTCCAAGATCTAATGGATGTATTCAGAGAAAATTTTCCTGGTTTTTGGTTTGGAGTATTTGTTCAAACCGAGCATGGATGACCCACCCTCTTTACGCTTCAGTTGGACATATTACTCCAAACTGTTATGTCTGCACCGGCCATCTGAAATTTGGTTTGGTTGATGCGCACTCCAAATTCTTCAATGAGTTTTAACACGGCTTCGACAATTTTCACATGATCGCATCCGTTCTAACTGTCTATGACGAGATCATCGTCGTTCACCTCCACATTCTTCAAGTTTCTAAATAACAGCGTCACCAGTCGTCTGAAGTTAAATAGCGCACCTGCTAGCCCGAGTGGCTTGCATTTAAACCGATGCCGTTTCTAACCCACAATGAACGCCACCTTATCTCTGTTGCTTTGCTTTATCGGTATCTGCCAATGTGCTGACTGGAGGTCAAGCATGTCTTCACGCTTTGTAGACGACCCAAGGTCTCCACTACATTTGGCATGGTATATGGTACCAGCTCTGTCATGCTGTTTAGCTGTCAGAAATGAACATAAAATCTGTGCTTCTTTCACTAAAAGAACTGGGAGTTATGCGAGATGTCAGTTTCTTCAATTATATCATCCTGTAACACCTCCTTCACTTCTCAATTAACTTTGCCTTCTAAATGACATGAGACTCTTTGAGTTGTGAATGGTGCCGTTTTGAGACCACCTAGTGGGATTTCATGCATCACCTTATCACAATAGCGGTATGGATCCTTATCTTCAGTGAACAGATTATCATATTTTCCAACTGACATTGACGCCTTAATCAGGCTGATACGTCCGTAATTCATAATCACTGCTGTCTCCTTCGTGTTGATTACCGCGTCAACCTCTTGTAGAGAAGTCAAAACAAAGCAGTGTTCTCTGTAACTCGGGCACAACAATGAACAGAAACGTTACTTTGCGGTTGCGTATAATAACTCTACGGTTTGATATGCCTGTAATCGTTGACACGTATCCAACTACTGTTTGAATCAGAAATGAACACAGTCTGATTCTCTGATATAGATTCCAATTAATTAGTGAGACTACTTCCCCTGTGTCTATCAAACATATTACTTTTTGGTTATTCAGTCGCAACTTAGAATACATGGCCCCCCTCTCGATAGCCCTTATTACTTCTAGTATGTTAGGGTAGAAAGAACATGCATTATACTGTCTGAAATTTTTCTTCCCTCCTACAGTATCCTGCTTTGCCTCATTCAAAGCATCGGCCTTTCCTGGTAGGCATTCGTGACCCTGCTACTTGACGCTGAAAATCTTCAATTTTATGTTCCCATTCGTTCGATTTCGGCGGCTTTAATTCGACTCTCAGTGTGCTCAACGGCTGTTAGGTCACCTTTCCTAGATCACCAATATCCATGCGTTGTACAGCGTTAACCAATTGTAGTTGCTGAGAAATGTTGACTGCTTGTTCATCGGGCGGGCTGTTGGATTCCGCAACCAATCGTTCATCCAATACCTTCCAGGCCTCGTCGTTCTTGCCAGAAAACTCTACATTCTTGTACCCCATCTTTGACCAGCCTCTCAGCAGCGTCCCTAACACGACCGATTGCAAAGTTCAGTGGAATGGAGAATGAATTGGTTGATGTACTAACCAACACAGAAATGTTATGGCTTCATTTTTTAAAAATTAAGATCCAAGTTTTCTCCTCAACTAGATTAGAAAACAAGCTCGTAAGGTTTGGAACTCAAAATCCTGTAGACTAATAAATATTCAGAAAAAATGGAGACGGACTGCTAACACGCTGAGAAGACCGCTGAGTGAAATCCTACTCCTGAATCTCCGGTGGAGCTCTATTGGGAAATGACGAGTTAAGTGCTAGTCAAAGGGTGACATGGATGAAGTCTTGTTTGTGAGTGTTTGTGTGTGTGTGTAAGGAAGATGGAGGCTGAAAAGGGCAGTAGACAACCGAGTGAAGTGTAAATGTGCTATCGAAGCCTTATTTTCTACCCGGAATCGAAAGAAATAACAACAATTAAGTCGTCAAAAAGTATTTGTGCAATTTATCAATTAATGAAGCGGTTTTAGTTCTCACAACTATCATATATACTCGTGGTGTTAACATTTCTGTCTTGGTTGTCTTTTTATACAGCAGGATCTTGTGTCGGTGCTGGGTACTTTCATCACTGTTTACTTGCAAAGTTCTTGATAGAATGGTATTCACAATCGTTCAGTTATATATATATATATATATATATATATATATATATATATATTATATATATTAAATCTAATTGTATTTTCTATCTTTCTATAGGAATTATTTATATGGGCTATACTACATCAACGTCAAAAAATGGCTTTATACTTTTGGGAACGTTGTGAAGATGCTCTAATTCTTGCTTTAATTGCATGTTGTCTTTATTCCAGTATGATAAAACTGTTACCAGCACATGATACAGAAGCTAAATTATTATACGAATCTTATATGGAAGAATTTGAAACATTAGCAATACGTGTATTAGAAGAGTGTAATTCAATTGATCCGGTTAGTGTTAATTGGCTAGTTTATCTTTTTTTTGAGGCATATACTTGCGCCTTTTTAACACTTGAATGTTATGGGTAAACTAAGTTTTTGAAACACATATCTTAAACTATTTTGTTTTTTAATTTGATTGGATGAAAAAAGCTTTTTTTTATGACTGCTATGATGAGTAAAAGACGTTGCTTACATGGGACAAATAATAGGTGTGGATGTTTCCGCTCACAGTTTATTATGTCACACTGTAACGACAGAAGACAAGGGCCAGGCAACAGATCGTTTATTGAGAAAATTAACAGATATTTATAGATTTTTATGTACAGTATTATCTACGTTATCGTTATCAGGACGGTAACGTCCTCTGATTGGTTGTTTTCCTGCTGAAGGTCATTCTTTCATCTCTTTGTTGCCGTTTCTTAGTCAGTCTGTTGATATATCTGCTAATCGCATCCGCCCATGCTACGTCTGCTGTGATTGGTTGTTGAGTTAGTCTTTGTTCTTGTTTTTTTCTCATGACCAGGCATAAACATTGACGTAGATTGCTATCTACCAATTTTGGCTAGCAGGTAGCTCTCACCACAACACCACAAGGCCAGTCACCATCACGTCTTCATTCCCGAAAGCTATGGAAAAGCTTCTCTTGCATGTCCTTAAACCTTCTTCGAAATCTTTCAATGATCCTAAACAGTTTGCTTACAAATATAGTAGGAGCACTTTAGATGCTGTCGTTGTATTCCATCGGAATACTGTTTCAATTCTTGATAAAGGCGAAAAGTTTACTTGTGCCCCCTTTTTAGACTACACTGCGCCTTTTGACTCTGTTCCCGACGACTAGAATGACAAAAATAATAACAACCAAAACTGGAAAAACCTTTATTAGACAAAATGCTTGGTGTACAATATTCGCAAATCTTCATAAATTTAAGCCATAAATAAAAGAAATCTGGTTGGTTGTGCAACTACACCAATTTGAACCATAAATAAAGGAATCGAAACTGTCAAACACGGTTATCACGTCAGTGTATGCATGAATGATGATTTCATAGCTTAGAAGGAAATCTGTCCATTCCAACAGTAGTCGGTAAACAATTCTCTCTCCCTCCCACTTCACCTTTCTTGATAAGATAGAACAGAGGTGGGGAATAATAATTTTGAATTTCCACAGGTAGTCGGTGTTACGTGTGGGCCAAATTGATTTTTTTACCGGTTGATCGCGGATCGATATCAGTTGGAGAAGCGTTAAAAAACCAGGGAGTACTGGTCAGCTGCTGTTTCATCCTAGTTTTGGAATCATCGGCAGTACGCACCTTCCGGTTACAAGGCAAGCTGGCTCGTACACCATTCAGCCACTGTGACCCTATTCAATGGGTCATGAATTCTAGCTTCCACCAATTCGTGATTTAGCGCGAACCCAACCACTGCCGTTGGTGGGACATCCATCCACACAGATGATATCTAATTGGACATCACTGATCACGACTCCTCACTATAACTCAGGAAACCCCAACCCGTAACAAGCCACTAGCGAGCATCAGATTAATTTTCTATATTTAGAAAATTAAAACAAGTGATTCAGCGAAGAGACTCTTTTCAACGAATTTATCATCAAGCTGTACAGTCGTATATATATGGTTTTTAAGAAGTTATATCCGGTGAGGGAATTGAATCTTAGGTGTGAATGCATAAAATAATAATAATCATGTGAGGTTCAATTAAAACTAAAATGTTTGTGATTATAATCGTAGTTAAATGTCAAGTGGCAAAGCAAATTAATGTCATATATAGAATAATTCATAGGAGGGATAGAACTTGAAAAAGGATGTGCAATTATAGGATTGGTAGACAAATCGAATAAAACAAAGACGTTACGTAATATTGTGTGAAATTTAATAGCATAGAATTTATCGTTGTAAAAAAGAATTGATTTAGAATGACAAGTGGAACAAGTGAAATAATACCGGGGACAGTTCAAAGTGAGAATAGTAATAATAACAACTGACTTAATAAGGAAGAGTATACAAATTGAATAGACAAAATGAAAAATTGGTAGAGCTAAAATTTGATTGGGGATTACCATATTTTAGCATAGAGGGATTAAGACCATGAAAGTTGGAGGGGTTGAACGAACTTTTTCTGATTATAATCGTAGTTAAGTGTCAAGTGGCAAAGCAAATTAATGTCATATATAGTCAGGGGGCAACTATCTAATCATTCCCTTCGGGACACCTTCCAATTTGTTGAATGTATACAGGATATAAATGCGTCGAATAAACAAATGTTGTCTTTGGATGTAGAATCCTTATTTACGAACGTTCCACTGACAGAGACCATATGTTTTATATGCAAATATATTGAAGACAACAAATTGAATATAGGGATACCTACTACAGATCTTAAAGAACTACTTTTGAGATGTACATTGAATGTACAGTTTACTTTCAATGAAACAATCTACAGGCAGAAGGATGGTATTGCGATGGGTTCTCCCTTGGGTCCTCTCCTTGCAGACGTTTTTATGTCCAGTCTAGAAAATGGTTCCCTGAAGCCTATGATCCAAAGCTTTCAAATATATAAAAGGTATGTAGATGACACCTTTATTATTTGTAATATTGATTGTAACCTGAATAATATATTAAGTGTATTTAATGAGTGCCATCCTGCGATAAAATTCACACTCGAAATGGAGAACGAGTCTAGCATTCATTTCCTCGATGTGAACTTATCAAGAAGGACCGATGGAACTCTGAAGAGATCGATTTATCGTAGGCTGTTATGGAATGGTCAACTGACAAATTTCTATAGCTGGGTACCTATTGGTCGAAAACGAAACCTGGTCCGGTCGCTTGCCACTCGTATTCGGCGCATATGTAGCACTGATACTGTGGAAGATGAGTTATACACTTTGAGGAAAATCCTAATGGAAAATGGATTTCCACCACGTTTTATAGATAAGAATATACATTCAAAGCCTACAAAACGTGACTTATCAACCGCTCCCAAGAAAATACTTTACATGAGCTTAGAATTCAAAGGGGACTTAGCTTCCGATATCATGAAACGAAGGATATCACAGTCCCTGAAAAGAACATTCCCTGCTGCCTCTCTGAGAATAGCTTTTACTAGCCGACCATTATTGTTCAATAACCTGAAGGACAAGATCCCAATGTTGACCAACTCTATGTGCGTTTATCAATTCACCTGCTCTTGTGGAGCTAGGTATATCGGTCGTTCGACTCGAGTTTTGTCCAAGAGGGTGCAAGAACATTATCCTGCATGGCTACGAAAAGGTGGAAGTGGAGCAATAAGAAGCGCGATCATAGAACATCTGGTCGAAAATGATCACCCTATCTCTATAGCCTCCGCCTTTAAAGTCATCTACAAGGCAAAGAGCAATCTACCTAAATCCCTACGTACCCGACTCATCTGTATTGCTGAAGCTTTGGCTATCGAAACAGAAAAGCCAGATCTCTGTGTTCAGAAAAAGTTTGTTCAACCCCTCCAACTTTCATGGTCTTAATCCCTCTATGCTAAAATATGGTAATCCCCAATCAAATTTTAGCTCTACCAATTTTTCATTTTTCATTTTGTCTATTCAATTTGTATACTCTTCCTTATTAAGTCAGTTGTTATTATTACTATTCTCACTTTGAACTGTCCCCGGTATTATTTCACTTGTTCCACTTGTCATTCTAAATCAATTCTTTTTTACAACGATAAATTCTATGCTATTAAATTTCACACAATATTACGTAACGTCTTTGTTTTATTCGATTCGTCTACCAATCCTATAATTGCACATCCTTTTTCAAGTTCTATCCCTCCTATGAATTATTCTATATATGACATTAATTTGCTTTGCCACTTGACATTTACCTACGATTATAATCACAAACATTTTAGTTTTAATTGAACCTCACATGATTATTATTATTTTATGCATTCACACCTAAGATTCAATTCCCTCACCGGATATAACTTCTTAAAACCATATATATACGACTGTACAGCTTGATAATAAATTCTTTGAAAAGAGTCTCTTCGCTGAATCACTTGTTTTAATTTTCTATAGTTTGGTTTTGTAAGGGTTAGTTATGTTTTTACGAGTTGATCACGGATTGATATCAGTTAGAGAATCATCGAAAACCAGGGAGTACTGAACAGCAGCTGTTTCATCCTAGTTTTAGGAAGCATTGTCAGTAGACAGTGCTGTGTGTTTAGGGAACGCTGTAATCCTATGAGTTATAACGCTGGGCTGTTTTATAGGTGCTTTATAACTGTTTTACATAAGTGGAATATCTGATGCGCGAAAATACCTTGAGATGACTTTATACCCTCGTTCGTAATATTTGGATAGATTATGTAAGTACTGAAGTGATGGGACGAAGAATATTTTCAAAATCATTTTATCTGAGAGTAAAAAGGCAGAAGTTCAAATACACTGAAAATGATAGAATCACTTACCACATTAGAGAGTCTATGACAGATCTGCACGGTATCTTTAACAAGTAACTTTGAACTCTTATTCAGATCAGTAGGCATTCATATCTTATGTTCAGTGGAACTTGAAAATTTGCAAACTCTTCAGTTCATGGTGCAAATTTGTCAGAGTTCTTTTTGGAAACTAAAGCTATTGAGATCTTACAATATATAATAATATACCTGATACGATAAATAACAAACAAGAAAGTGAGTAAAAAATGCCAATGTGATTGAAGCCAGGCTACAAATGAATGAAACAATCATCAGGTGTTAAGGTGACTTCGATCTATCTAGTAAGCACTGCTCTTTGTTGTGAGTGGTATCTTATTGCTCATTTTAATTAGTAGTATAAACCAACACCTTGTGTCCAAAGCACTTATTAATATAAGGTCAAAAAATGAATATTATTATTGACTGTTTCACAATTATTTCATCACACAACTCTAATTCAAGGTTGGTTATTGAAGGTGATGGAAGCACTTTTGGGGATTAATCACATTCATCCTAAACTATGAGTACAAAATACAAACAATAGATTTCAACGTTCCTTTGCCTACCATGAACTAACTACTTGACGTATTTAAATATGATTGGTCATTAGCATAGTATATCTTTTTGTTTAATATAACTGAGTGATTGTCATGCACTTTATTTTATTTTATAATTGTTAACCATGTTAGTTGTAAAGTGGTTGTAAAGAAACTACGAAATGACGATATCATCTCTCAAAACTTATCTTCTAATTGCCTTGATGTAATCTTTTGTTTTTTAAACGCCATTTCAGGAACTAACTCTTTATTTAGTTGAAGGTGAATCAACATTATGGGGTGGTTTTAATTGTTTACAACTCGCTGCACAATCTGTTCGACGCAAATTTATCAGTTCACAAGCTTGTCAAAATTCTTTGCATTTCGCCTGGTGTCATGGTATACGCGCTGATATGTTTGTCACTCTGGCCACATTGTTTTTACCATTTTTATTGTGTTTTGATCGTATCTTACCATGGGAAGACAAACGTTTACATGCTACTTATGATACGTATACATATGATAAATTCAATGATACCAGTGGAAATACACAGAATCAGTTGGATGGAGAAACGAATCATCATAATTTTAATAGTAATAATAATAATAACATAAAAGATAAAATGGGACCATCACGTGGACGAAGACATTTTAGAGAAAAGGTTAAAATGTTCTACACTTCGCCGAAAACTAAATTCTGCTTATATACCGTAAGTGACCGTCAAGTACAAGGCAAACTTAGATAGAGATTGTTGTGGGCAGTTTAGTAAATTATTGGTGAGATGTGGTACCTATGAACAGCAATTAAATCACAGGACTTTTTATTTATATTATGCATATTACTTCACTCTTTTTCCTGATGGTTTCATTACTGAAACATCATAGTTATGATAAGTGACCATCTGGTGAATGAGTTATAATCAAGTTACATATGGAAAACAAAAGGAAATATATTAAATTATTACCCAAGAGTTCGAAAGAGTCAAACAAATTGAATGAAAACAATGGAGTCATCGCCATCAAGACAGTAAAAGTTGCTGAAGAGTTCTCATTTTGTATAAAAGCTTCATTTCCATGGGATTTCTACAGGGAATTTTTCACTGACATATTTCTACAGCTGGAAAGGCAATAAATGAAAAAAATTTGATCCTATTATTATTATTTTACTAGTATTTCCTTTAATTCATAGAGGAACATAAGGCTTCAGCCACGCCTCTCCATTGCGTTCGGTTCTCTGCTAGAGTTTTCACCTGGCTCCACGTCTGCCCATATGCTTTCTTCTCCTCTTCACATGACCTCCTCCATGTCACCCCCTCACTGGCGACCAACTCGCCGATTCCCATTTCGGTTCGACTCGAGAGCCTGTCATCTGATGTCACTTGACGGTTTGTTTTCTCAGAGTACGACCAATCCACCTCCATTTCTTCCTGCATATTAGTTGTACAAATGGTTCTCAGAGATCCCTGTTGCTGATCTTTTCCGGCCACCATCTGATCTTGAGTATTGAGTGAAGACAGTTGTTGATGAAGGTCTGTAGTTTGTTTGACGTGCTTTTTATGACGCGCCAAGTCTTTGATCCGTATAGTAGCACTGACTGACTTCACATTGGAGTCGAAAACCCGAATCTTATTTTCATTCTCATGCTGAGTGCTGTTGACCTCCACACAGACTTGAGAGTGATGAAAGCTTGCCTTGCTTTCCCGATCCTTGCTTTGATATCCTCGTCAGTTCCGCCTGCAGTTGAAAAGATGCTTCCAGGGTAGGTAGGTAAAGGAGGTTGTTTCTTTCAGGTTCCTCCTATTTATGCTGATTGTTTTCTGTTGTCGTTGTTGCTATTGGTGGTGTCGGCCAGGAATCTTCATCACCTCTGTTTTCTCTATGTTCACCTGAAGTGAAGTCCTATCCTCTGTGGATGTTTCTTCTGACAACTTGTTGCTTTTCATCGGCATATCTTCCAGTTTGTGGGAAAGCATAGGAAAACTTTAACTTTAAGCACCACTAACTACCAATCAACAAATGACCTGGAACGCACCAATCACGTGAAGGAAGCATTTTTGTCCATGGAATACATGTATTTATGAAAAATGAATGCATAAAAACTGTATAGAAGTGTTACAGAGGATACCTTTCTCTCACATTTGATAAAAATAGCTCTCAGTTTTAAGCTGAAGTATCCACAGAGTATAATTCCATTGTGAGTAAAATTTATTTTGATAAAGTCTCACAGTGTTATGCAGTAATATTTCCTGAGCAATAAACTGTGCTCGAAACGTCATCAGTAAATATTACTGCATAACACTGTGAGACTTTATCAAAATAAAATTCCATCCATAATGGATTTCTACTCTGCCACAGTGGAAAAGGTTTTATTCTTATATCAAAAGAGTAATTGAACCACATTCTATGCATGTAATTATTTAGGTCTTTTAACCCTAATCTTTCCTGAACTCAGCCCTAACGTGAAAATATGTCTTAACTAACCCTAATCTGACTTGAACTAACTCTAATATCGCCTTTTATAGGTCAGCCTAACTCTAAACCGTAACTTAACCTTTCCCAAACTCAAGCTGAAACTTGCCAGATATCATATGTAACAACATAGCTCTCAGATGGGCATATTTTATCGATGATGACAACATTATTTGCCAAGTTTCACTAACTTGCCCAGTGTGCGTTTCAAGGTCATTAGTGTGGCTGCAATCCATTGGTAGTCAGTGGGCTGATCATATTCCTCGGCATTCACAGCGGATACATTTGGAGCCCTGAAGATCTAGGAGAAGAATTAGACCTTCTGACAGAGTTAACAACAAACAGTTCCCTCCGATGAACTATGAATAACTGACCAATTACGTGGCCCGGGTTCGATTTCGAAATCGGCTAGCAGTAAGATTAGAGAACAGAGATGAGTGGGCATGAAATTTCAGGATTTGAAGCTCAATGTTCCATTTGGAATACAGAGAATAAAAAGACGAATCAATCGAACTTCTCTGTAAACCTAAAAAATTCAAAATGGACTATAGCAGAGTCGTTTTACATAGCTCTACCTATTTTCATAACATTTTTCTAGTGGTTGTATCACAGATTTATTCGGTTAATTAATTCTTTTGAAATTCATTCATGGTCTATTCATTAAGTTGTAATTTTTTCCAATATTCTATTCAATTATTGATTGGATCAACTCCTCTCCTCTGTTTCTTTCTTTCCCTTTTTTCACTCTTTAAAACAGTTTGTCTACGTCGTATTCCTATTGTTCTTTTCGTACACATTACTGTTTAGTACCGTGGCTAATCAGATTACAATTCATGAAGGCTTTATAATGGCTTATTTTGTAGCTATGATAATCGATATAGTACGGCAGGTGAGTCTAGTGATCATAATAAATATGTAACAATGTTGTTTGTATTATTTAGTGAAAAAAAAATACTGTGAAATATTTAACATTTAAGAAAACATAAAAGACTATCAATTTTGTTTATCATTAATTCACGCACGGCTCACTTAATGTGATTTGAAGTGATTTGGTTTTCTGAGATGATTGAAGACTGGTACACAAACGAATGAAACGGTCATCCGGTGTTTAGGTCTTTTTTTATTTTTATCTGGCTAACTACTCAAATCACTAATTCAGTAGTATACAGCGTCATACTTAAAGGGTAATCGATGCTGATCAAGCCACTTGACCAAGTGATTTTTTGATCTCATATGCAATTGATCTTTCCTGATTGTTTTATCCTAAGGCTTAAGCAGATGCTTATGTGTTCAAATGATGCGAATCAGTTTCATACCCACTCCTTAACCAGAGCAGCAAGTTATCATTTCTAGACAGTGACATTTGTATTACAATAAAAGCATCTCCTTTAACTAGTTCCACAAAATCTCTTCTTTCATCAAAAAATAATTATTCACTCATTAGTCCATATGTTTATTTATTTGTAAATAATGAAACGTAGATTGACTGACTGATAGGGTCTTCAGCGTAGAACTTTGCGCAGAAGTGCAGCAGTTCAAGTTGTCAAACTCCATATACCACACAAAGTGGAGAAAACACCTTCCGAGGAACTATTGTGAACCGTGATATACGTCAAAAACAACATTTATGTGGTAGACAATGAGGATTTAATGGATCTAGGACAATAAAATGAGTGAAGTCATCTACTTTATTACCAGCAGTCTGCAGCCATTGGCTCTTTGCTTCCAGAAAACTCCAACTAGGCAGTTTGCACGATATTACAAGGCTCCCACCAGAAGTAGCAGATTTTATGGTCAAATGCCAGGTTTTAATCTAGCCACCTCCAACTGTTTTCCAAGCTTATCTTATATCAGCTAACATTGTTCTTTGAGGAAGGAGATGGCTAAACATACATAACACGTGTCCTAGGCATCTCAGTCGATGTAGTTTCACAACCTCGCTGACTGACTTTTCCCACGCCCTATTCACATTCCACTCCTGATATAAAAATTACTCACCATATTGTACCGCTTAACATGAGACATGGGATACAACCGCCTATAATCAATGACAGATAGTCTCTTCAGGTCTGTCGTGTTTTAGAAAACAGAAGGACTGAGAGAAGAAATATTTACTTTTCAATTAGATCCTCATCTCTAGCTCTACTCTAGCATATATATATATGTATATATAGTACTTTCAGTGCAATACACAACATTTTTTTAATCAAGTAGCCATATGTATGTTAACAATAACTAGTCACTATCAACATATCCAGTAGGGTGATAATTAACAGGGAAAATTAATGCACACAATTAAAGGGTAGAAATGTTTACAACAAATGGATTATATAATGCATGATTTCAGAAAAATGAAGAGCAATTAAGGAATAAGCGTGTGCTCAAGTTGATTACGTAACACATAATTAAAGAAAAGTAAAATGATTTGGACAAAGATAAGTTGTAGGTAAAAATGGAGTAGTCATAAGCATAAAATAATTCGGGCGATTATAATTTCTAAAAGGTTTAGGAGTGGAAGGGTGAAGTAGTCCGGTTTGTAAATTCATGTAACGATGGGTAGGGTAGGGAAAGTCGATTTATGAATTTCTTCTGAACACACAGGTTTGGCTTCATCAGGTCGATTCCTATTACTTCAGCTGTCTGTAGAAGACGAACTCGTAAAGAAAAATTAAGATTAGTAGGAATGCGATAAATAATATAAATGCTTTATTAACATCAACCTTATGCTCACTATCTACAAGGTGTTCTAAAATAGAGCTACGAATAGATCTTGTTTGTCCCTTGTTTAACCATGCCGGATGATGTGCAGGAATATGGGGATGAACATGCCCAATTGTACTCCCGATGTAGCTGACTCTTCAGCTGCAGTCAAAGTGGTAGATACACATAGAAGAGGCAAATTTAGGTAGATTAACCTTATTTCTCGAACGTAGAATATGTGTGGTTGTGAAGGGACAACGTACCTCTGCAGCATAATAAGCTCTTTTAACTGTATTCTTCAGGCACTGTGTTATAATTTCGCTGATGTTGTTACCCAGGAATTGAAGTTTGGTTTCTTTGGAACTGTTGCTATGCTGACTTTCTCAGCTGCTGAATTCATATTTTTCTCAATGAACTTATCTGAATAACCATTTTTTTCTAAGTCATTCTCTCTCTTTGTTTGTGTCGTCTTTAACGGTTATGTCTCGCAGACATACATAAGGATAGAGAAAACTTCTATGCAGTACATAGATCGTTTGATCGATAGCCGAATATTATGTCTACGATACAGATAATGTAAGTCAGTAAATACCAAACATGATATATCTTACGAGTCGAGATATTAGAATTCTAGTCAGTAGATTAAATGTTGTTAGTAGGAGACCTGGTATTGTCCCCACTATCACTTATTAATGCTATGTCACCTTATGTTCCTTTTTTCCTTCACGTCACGCTAATCGCTTGAAGTTTCTGTAGCAGTGTTTATTTTACAGGATGGGTTTGCTAGCCTCATGCCCAACCTTTCCTCTTTACCAGAACTATTTCTGGCTTAGCGAGGTAAAGGAGTGCGTCTGTGGCCGGGGATCGAGCCCCGGACCATGTGCATGGTCGGCGAGCGTCCTAACCGTTATACCACCGACGCGGTATAAAACAAGATAAATAAAATAAATAATAAATAAAAAAATAAATAAAATATTTCGTACCTTGAGAGGCCTTCTCATTCATCCGATGATATATTCTGCACATGAGTAGGTATTAGAGGAGGATTGTAATGCTAAGCAGTAAAATAAGTGGCATTATTAAGCAGCGATTTCTTGTCTCAACATTCTCATATTCTAAACTTTATTCTAAAGTTATGTATTTATTTTGATTGTAGGTAATTTTATCACCTGGTGTTGGACATCAAAGATTTGTATCGTGGTGGGAACAATATGAATGGGGCAGATCAGAGTTATTTGTTATTCTCTTGTCTCTTTTAAGCATATTCTTACGCATTGGAATGAGGGAAACATTTACATATGCTAAATCATTTTATGTGATTACATGTAAGTCCGCTTTTTCTGTTTGATTCACTAAAGTAGGTAAGTATTATTGAAAAGATTAAGAGATTACAGTTCAGAACCATCCTATAAATGAGTATAATACTGAAAGGAGTATCAGACACTATTAAGGAAGAATAACACAGCACTGGTTTCAACATAGAACTTTGCACAGAAATGCAACAGTTCAAGTAAAAACACTGCATATTATATGGTTAGAGGCAATTGGAAGGTTTCTTACTTGTTAGCACTCGTCAGTCAGCAGGGCGTATCTGAAACCTTGAATAGCTCATTGGTAAAGTCTCCGACTGCATCCCTCATCGGGTGACGCGGGTTCAAATCTCAGAAAAGGACGTGAGTTCTTTCACGGTTGCAGATACGACTCAATGACTGGTGAGTGAGTGAGTGAGTGTCAACTAGCACAAAACCTAGTTGTGTTCAATGCTTCCTGTGGCCGATTGCCTCCAACCCTCTGATATATCTTCAAATCAATGTGCTATGTGATGGCGAGCTACCTAGAATGGTGGCCACATTGCACACCTGACTGATATAAGAATTCAGTCTGCACCAAACAAAAGGATGAGACACATCACACTATTTACTGACTAGTGTCCAATCAAAGTAAACACACTTCATGTAGCACACAAACCAAGAGAAGAGAGTAAAGGGAGGTTCAAAAGACAGATAGTGAACAGAAGTGTGAGGGGAAAAGAATAGTTAATATTGAAGAACACTCTATCACCAACTGTCTCCAGTCATCACTGGTTTTCATCATTCCGAAAACCCAAAACCAAGAAGTCTGCACCTCCATACAGAACTGGTTTAAACTAACCGTTATGGATTTCATTGACTAGTGCCGCCATATTTTGGCTTGACCGCCACTAGCTCTTTTCCAACCTGATCCTATGTCAGCTAGCATTGCCCGTCAAGCAAAGCGGTGGCTAGACATGCGTAACACATGTCCCAAGCATCTCAATCGATGCAATTTAACAACAGCAAGGGTAGAAATAGATGCTGACCTGTTTCCCTGGCACACAGAGCTGCCATTGTTTTTAAGGGAATTGCAATGCCTTCTGTTGTTTCGACTATTTGGTATCTAAATGTATTCAGAAGTTTACTCAGTATCCAATAGAAGGGAGTAGAAGATTCCAAGGTCAGTATTATTGCGTGTTTAAACGAGATGGCTTAATATCAAACTGCTGGTGGTTTTTACTCCAACTTCATTCGGTCACACTGGTAGATATTCTCGATCAGGAAATAACTAAGATCCCAGAGAAACAATTAATTTAATTGGCTCAATATGCGTAGTTGAATTGGCAGATACACGAAGAGATAGTTATCCTAGGCACTTCATCTTGCAGTAGGGGAATCATAATAGGTCTCGTGCAAAATATGAGGCCTAGCATATCGACTTTTTCAATTTGATAATATAGTAATTTGCCTGATGAATCACTCTTGAATTGCAGTCATATTTATAAGCCTTCTGGTCGGCACATGCAGAAAAAATCCTTTCTACATGTTTTACCACTTGTTTCATGATGAACGCTTCAGGTAATTATTATTATTTCCTTTAATTCCTAGAGGAATATAGGGCTTCAGTCGCGCGTCTGCGCTGCCTTCAGTTCTCTGCCAACGTTTTAACCAGCTCCAAGTCTGCCCACATACTTTCATCTCCTCTTCACATGACCTCCTCCAAGTCACACTTGGACGACCAACTCGTCACTTTCTTTCGGGTTCCACTCGAGCGATGGCCTTGCGTGTGATGTCACTTGATTGTTTTTTCAGAGTATGACCAATACACCTCCAATTCCTCCTGCTTATTTGTTGCACAGTCGGTTCTTGGTTGGTTGGTTCATTGCCAGAGATCCCTGCTGCTGATCTTTTCTGGCCACCATCTGATCTTGAGTATTGAGCGAAGATAGCTGTTAATGAAGGTCTGTAGTTGGTTTGAGGTGCTAAGTCTGTGATCCGTGTAGTAGCACTTAATGACCTCACATTGGAGTTGAAAATCCGGATCTTATTTTTCATTCTGAGTGTTGTTGACCACCACACAGACTTGAGAGTAAGGAAAGCTTGCCTTGCTTTCCCGATCCTTGCTTTGATATCCTCGTCAGTTCCGCCTGCAGTTGAAAAGATGCTTCCCAGGTAGGTAGGTGAAGGAGGTTGTTTCTTTCAGGTTCCTCCCATTTATGCTGATTGTTTTCTGTTGTCGTTGTTGCTATTGGTGGTGTCGGCCAGGAATCTTCATCACCTCTGTTTTCTCTATGTTCACCTGAAGTGAAGTGCTATCCTCTGTGGATGCTTCTTCTGACAACTTGTTGCTTTTCACTTGCATATCTTCCAGTTTGTGGGAAATCAGACATATATCATTGGCGAAGTCCAGATCCTCCAAGTGTTTTGTGTGGGTTCTTTTATGCCTGTTTCTTCATTGCCCGTTGTTGTCGCACTGTCCAATCTACTGCAATCAGGAAAATCGTTGACGATAGTAGGCAGCTTTGCTCTACTCCCGTCGTCACTTCGAAGGATTCTGTGAGTTTCCCGTTGTGGATTACTTGGTATGTAGCATTGTCGTATAACTGTTGGATGAGATGTATAATTGTCGATGGGACCCCGTAGTAGCGAAGTAGTTGCCAAATCACCTCTCGATCGACTCTGTCGAGGGCCTTTTCAAAGTCGATGAATTTGAGATAGAGAGGTGACTGCTAATCCAAGCTTTGTTCAATGATGATCCGTTGAGTGGCGATTTGATCAAAACATGACTGTTTCTCCTGAATCCAGCTTGTTCCTATTGAAGTTTTTCTTCCAGGTGGGTGTGTTTGATTCTCCCCAAAATGATGCGGCTAAGTATTTCACTTGCGATGGACAGGAAAACAAAGAAAACTATAAAACTCAAGTTTGAAGTCGTGTGATTATAATTGATGAAATGATTATGGACAATAATTTTTGTTCGAAACTGTGTCATCAGTAAATAATACTGTTTCACTGTGTGATACATCTAATAAGCGAACTAATATGGAAATACTTACTACCACAATGCCCAAGTTTTACACATATATTTATAAAACATCCATGCCTAGTTATGTTTAGGTACCTATCATCACCTGACATTTACATAAACTAAAACAATTAGTCCCTTTGATAATTTGAATAAAGCAATTGGAAGACAGATTTCGAGAGATGATATCGTCATTTCGTAGTTTCTTTACAACCGCCTTACAAATAACATGGTTAACAACATTAAAATGAAATAAAGTGCATGATAATTACTCAGTTACATTAAACAAAAGTGCATACCAGTGACCAGTCATATTTAAATAGGTCAAGTAGTCAGTTCATGATAGGCAAAGGAAGGTTGCAATCTATTGTTTGTATTTTGTACACATAGTTTAGGAACATTCTATTAGTTCCAATGTCGTCGAAAAGAACATGTTCCAAAATGGTTATAAAAAACATATTAAATCCCAGTGCAATTAATCTGAATAGAAATCCATCAATCCAGCATTCATTGAAAAGCACTTATTAATATCAGGTCAAAAAATGAATATTATTAATGACTGTTTCACAATTATTTCATCGCACAATTCTAATTCAAGGTTGGCTATTGAAGGTGATGGAAGCACTTTTGCGGATTAATCACATTCATCCTAAACTATGTGTACAAGATACAAACAATAGACTTCAACCTTCCTTTGCCTACCATGAACTGACTACTGACCTATTTAAATATGATTGCTTATTAGCATAGTTTGTCCTATTGTTTTTAAATAATTGAGTAGTTGTCATTCATTTTATTTTATTATTGCTAACCATGTTAGTTGTAAAGTGGTTGTAAAGAAACTACAAAATGGCGATATCGTCTGTCGGAATTTGTTTTCTAAATACCTTATTCACGTTTATAAAAACTTCAGGTTAAAAGAGATTCTGTAGCTGAATTTTAGATTTTCCCGTCGATTGATTGAACCGAAGTGCTCGATCTCAGGTCGTCATGTCGGCTTCTTGTGAGATGCTTCGACGTTGTCTAGGCATGTAATTAGAATTTAACTGGTGGATGGTGAATAGCAGTGGAATCCAGGATGCACATTCGTCCTATTTGGGACTCGTCAGCCACTGGAAATACCTGCATTTCTCAGTTAGTGATGACGAGTCCCAAATAGGACGAATGTGCATCCTGGATTCCACTGCTTGTCACCATCCACAAATTAAATTCTGATTACATGCGTAGACATCGTCGAAGCATTTGTACAAGAAGCCGGCATGTCAACCTGAGACCGAGCACTTCGGTCCAGTTAGTCGACGGGAAAATCTAAAATTCAATTCAATAATTAATATGACCCGTTGCACAAGAGGTGGCTCTCGTGGCCCAAGTGGTCTAGTGGATAACGCTTTGGCGTTTGAAACTATGGGTACTGGGTTCGAGCCTCAGTGGGAACATCATCACTCACTGAGAAATGCAGGTACATCCAGCTGACGAGTCCCAAATAGGTCGAAATGCGCGTCCTGGATTCCACTGATAGTCACCATCCACCAAATAAATTCTGAAAGAGATTCTCTATGAAGTCTTTGAGGTTTGCAGTAAGGAGAGTGTATCTATTCACGAAACCGTACTAGTAGGGAAAATTAAAAAATAAACTATTAGATCCCGTTCATAAATTAGAATCACCAAGTGCAGTACTAGATGTTACATCTTCAATTTTGTTATTATTGTTGTTGCTTACTTATGAAACCTTTCAAATTCAATGAAAAGTGACTATTTATATTCTCTAGTTTTCATCGATTTTTTAAATGACATCAGTTTACGGTAAAGTTATATTTTTAGTATTTTTAATATACTTATGCGTTGAAATTTCTGTAGCGATTTGATTAAGTTTTGGAAGTGGAGTTGCTAGCACCACGTAACAACCCTCCCTCTATATCCGGGCTTGGGACTGGCTAGAAAACTAGCGAGCTAGTAATCTAGGCGAGGTTGATATTTCTAATTTTGATGGACTGAATTATGCGTCAGACAGTAGAAAAGGAGAAGACATGGAGGTTAATTCTTTCACTTGATTATCTAGGGAGCATTGTCTCAATTACACGCAGTCGGAACGGACGAGGATGTCAAATCGAGCGAGAATCAGGAAGGCAAGAAACACATTCATCAACCTGAAACCAATCTCGAAATCTTCGTCACTCGGCTAGTATCAACAAGAAAATTCGGTCGGATTTTCAATACAAACACGTCAAGTCAGACAGCTCTTCTATACGGATCAGAAACTTGGCGGGCGTGTCACAAAGAATATTTCCAACAGCCTGTTGCAGACGTTTATCAACCAACAACTGTCTTCGCTGGCTCTATACTGAAGATCAGATGGCCGGGCCGGAAAGAATCATCAACAAGAAACTCTGGCTGGGAATAAACAAACAAAACAAGAACCAATCGCCAACCAACAAATATACAGGAGAAAGTGGAGATGGATTAAACACTCGGTCGCTGAGGAGGTCGATTGGTGACATCGCGCGCGCGTCAGGCCATTGCTCGAGTGGAACCCGAAAGGGAGGGAAGTGGTGAGTGGGACGTCAGTGCAAGGGTGACATAGAGAGATCGTGTGAAGAGAGAGGAGTTGAAACAGTATGGACTAACATGGATGCAGGTGAAAAGTACAGCAGAAGACAGAAGCAGGTGGAGACGTGCAGTTGAAACCCTATGTTACACTAGGAACCCAAGGGAACAACAATAATAAAATAATGGTAAAGTTTTATAAACATCAGTTATTTTACTATAATAATATCTAAATTATTATTTAATACTAGTATACCCTTGATTTCTGAGTGAAACAAAGAGCGTCAGGAGCCCATGCTCATTTCACACTATTCTGTGTAGTCCTCATCAGTTAGCTCCGCGATGGCCCACAGACTGTCATTTCCTTCACACACACACACAGACACACACACGATCTCCACCATATCACCCTCAGACACCCAATAGTCGTTTTCCACTTTAATTCCACCTAAGCAACGGTATGGCGCATGTTGTCACTTGACAGTCTCCTTGGCGTTTGTCCATTCAATCCTCATTTTCTTCTGCACATTTGTTGGGCCATAGGTTATTGGTTGGATGGTTTCCAGATTTCCATTTCTCTTATCATTTTTGGTCGGCCATTTAATCTTAAGTACAAAGGGTAAAGGCAATCATCAAAATCTCTATGTATTTTTATGCACATCTGTCGAATTCATTACTGGGGTGCAATTTAGTCACTTCAAGAAACAATTCCCGATAGGAAATACATGAAAAAAGAAAGTTTGATCATTTAATTTTCAACCATTTTACTATTGTTACAAACATAAAAGAATGCACACTTTTATTCTATGTTTTTCCCTTAATTTTATTACATAAATACAATGGCAAGTGATAGCATGCTACATTCGAGTATACGGATTATACTCATATCATCCAAATTTAGGTCCAAAATTAGTAATGATACGAAGTATGCTAGAAGAGTTGATGTCATTTATATTCATACTGATCGTTGTCTTCTTGGCTTACGGTGTATCTACACAAACTCTGTTGTATCCTAATCAGAATATATTTTCATGGAATACTGTTCGTGATATATTATATTATCCATATTGGGCTTTGTATGGTGAATTGCCAATAGACCATGCATTCGGTAAGTTGAATATTTATCTTTTTCTCACTCTTTCGCATACCAAGCGGAATATAGAGATATCAAGTTTTGAAGTCTCACTACTGAATGTGTTGTTTTACAGGGTGGATTTCCAGGCATAACGCCTAGCTTTCACTTTCTCTTGGCTTACTCCCAGTTAGCAAATTATGTGAGGTTTGTGATTGGATGTGAGTTATAATAATAATAACACTGCATCAGCTATCAAGAACTCTGTAAAACTCATTATGCGTGTCCTGTGAATTCACAAAGCATAATTTGAATTGATATTGGATAGTTGGAAGCGATTGACAGTAAGTCCTTGACATAACTTTTGTTCTTGTTGACAATCGCCAACAAGGAATATCTGTAATCTTGCGGTGACTGATGTTCCCTATGAGGTCTGAACATGCGTCACCCAGTACTGCATCCAGAAATGTTAAGGCTGAGTCACTTAGACTAACAACTGGCCTCCTGTACAACTGTAATGAATTCTTCGACCAGTTACTAGGTAGAAGCCACCAACATGAATATATTTCTTTGTTTGGTGCAGACTGAATCCCATCAGTCTCTGACTACAGCACTGGTTGACGTGGGTTAAAGTCTTAGTAGTGATGTGGCTTTCTTCAAGACTGCAGAGACGCCTTGCTGACGAGAACCAACAAACACAAAACCTAGTTTCAAAGCCTTCATCTAGAAATAGTTTAGGGTTAACAATGGTGGTGAGGCAACAAGCTTGATGACCACATTACAACCCTAACTGACAGAATTCAGTCCGCACCAAACTAAGAATCAGTTGCATGATAATAGTTGCTATCTAGTTACGAAACAAAGCGAAAAACACTTTGTTTCTCAAATGTCTTTATTTATACGAGAAATAAAATATGATTAATATTAATACTGAATTGAAAACATTTATTTCCCGACACGAATTTAAAACAAGCAACAATGAAGGTTGATAAAGCAGGATTTAATGAATTCATCAAATTTCGTTAGAACTCGTCAGCTGAATACTCTACTTATATATATATATATATATACTTTAGAAATTACTTTAGGAGTCATGAGACTGATAAGTAAACTAATTACATTGAATTAGTCATGCAGAGAGACAGGTGCGAATGTCTTCCAGGTCATGTTCAAATAGATAAGGGGAGAGACAGTATGAGAGATTAGAATTAAGATAAAATTTACTGCACTTCAATTACACATCACTTAGATAAACCTGATTTATGCGTCCAGAAAGAAGCGGTTATCAGCCTTTCTTTGCCCTGGTAACTGGATAATTTCACCTCTCTTTCCTCCGAATGTGAAATGCTAAAAGTTTCCATTGTGTTTGATTATTATTGTTCGGAATAGTGGTTAATATTGCATATTTATATATGTATATTTTTAGTGTATGAGTATATTGATTGATTGATTTTTGTTTAAACTGAACTCTATGCAAGTATGTTAAAATTGTTGTTGTAGACATATTTAATAATGTCTTTGCCATGTAAGCAGCTGACGAGAAGGCAACGAAATAAAAGATGGTACCATTTTATTCTGCTAAAACTGTAGTTCTTGCTTTGTTGAAAAACAATTAGTCATTAGAAAATATAACAAGAATTGCAAACAGAGTATTATCAATAGTAATAGTGTTGAAGTGAGTTAAGATAATGCTACTGATAAAAGATAGTTTTAAAAGAATCAAAAATAATAACAATAGGTTGAATAGTAAGTAAAAGGTATTACCATAGTAGATTTAGAAGGGCGGTCATCTCATTTTGTACACAGAGCCCTGGTTTATAAGCTCGAACTGGACAAGCCACTGCAATTGCAAGCGCATCCTCCTGTTGCTTTATCTGCATGCAATAGTGAATGACTTGACAGCGTCAATATCATGTCCATAGTTCACAAGATGTTTTGTTATTGAGGTATTTTGGCACTTTGCATTCAGCTATTTTCAACCATTTTGGCAAATGCTCAATCATGCGAGTAGACAATCCCCTTTCTCTACGACCTATGTATTCGCGTCTACAAAAGCACTCAAAATGATATACGCAGTTTGATGTGTCAAGGATTGGCAACCGGTCATTTTACATGTATATAGGAATTTTTAATTAGAGAGGCTTAGTGCGTTTACAGTATAGAGTTGGCGACTTATAATACAACTACATATAAATATGTGTTGAATTGTGTGTCTGTTAGCCTGAAGGAAATAGTCTAGTGGTAGATGTTAAGTTAGTCTCACGGAGAATAGGTCACACTGAAACATCTTCATTCAACTTGGTTGTTTGCCATCATTTTCAACTAGTTTCAGCACTGTCCCAAGCTTTCCTCTCCTCCACTAATGATGGCCTTCATGTTACCTTCGGTTGTCCAGCTGGCTTATTTTATCCCATTCGAATTCTACTCGAACACCTAGTGTTTGATTTCAGTTGAAAGTCTTCTTAGTGTCCAGCTGTTAAATTCATACTATTGCATAGCTAACTAGAAACCGATTGAGAATTTCATAATAGGCTTACTAAATATTTCAGTTCAAATGTATTGAATGAAATATTCGCATACTGAGTCATAAGAAAAAGAAACCGGACCTCTATATTCAAAAGCACCATATACATAAACAGCCTCCAAAGCCTCAGGATGGTCGGGGGTGGGTGCCTTGGGCAGCGGGTTGGCCACCCCTCCGTACACCTCTTGAAATGCTCCCATATGACCGGGCGTCTTACATAGCCTCTCCTGAGGAAGTCCTACTCACTGCCTTCACGTGGCGGAGGTGTTTTTTTCACCGAAGTGAGAGGGCAAAAGCGGATGCCCGGCGCTCTTCACCGGGTAGACTGTCCATTGGATGATAGTCTAGGGGAGATGGCTAAACCCTGATTCCAAACCTCCAACGAGTGATGTATGAAGCTCACCGGAGCTCACCGGCAGACGTATGGACAAAGGGCTTATTGGATGCCCTGGATGTCTGGCACCGTTCAAAAAGGCGTATGAACCGGACTCCGGTCACCGGCTGCCAATGGATAGTGGACTCCTTACTCCACTCCTACTGCCTTGTAGGTCACACTTGGTTGTGTAAAGGCTAGAGATGCACTCTCAAACAAAAGGCCGAGCGATGCTGGGGACATCACTCGTACCTAATTCCCATGAAACTTCATGAACTCTCGTTGCTACAACATCAACCAAATTCCAGTACTGGTCCAACAACGTCGCCTTCGATGGTTTTGCCATGTTCTGCGCCGACCAGATGACGATCTGGTCAAATCAGTTCTAAATCCCTAGCCATTTCCATCGCGATGTCGCAGGGGTGGACAGCTGAAAACATGGCTTGGTACAGTCAAGGCTGATATGGAGTGCCTGGGACTACAAACCGTCTACGGACTCCGTCTGTGGAGCAAGAATTGGATAACCCTGTCGCAAAACCTTGCATCGGATCGGTGCATCGCCTGGGCAGCGATGATTTGAGATGTTCATGAAGCCGGCTCATCCTCCCGTAGGAGATAGCCGAAGTAAAGTAAAGTAAGTATATACATTAACACTTTACCGTGGTCAGAGTAACGTTCTTACTATAATTTTGCTTCCTTTTATTAAGTTTATTATTATTATTATTCTCATCCTCCATTATTTTACTATCACTCTATTACTGTTTATTAACAACATTGCGTTTTCATACAGATTTTATATAAAAAACACTTTATTGTCTTTCCACTAGTTCTTGTCCACTCTACACAATTATATTGTTTAGTCATTTTCTCACCCCAACTTTTGCTTCTTTTCTAATTTCCAAATAGTCATTCTCTTCTAGATTATATCTTACGGAATATACACATTAGGTCATAGGAGTTATTAAGAAGACAGTTGCAGTGAAGAAAATTTTCTTTTCAACGAAGTCATCATCTAGGCTGTATGTCGATTCGTGTATTTATATCAAAGGGATGGAAAAGTTCTAGAATAATTTGCGGTTAAGAGTCAAATTAATAAAAATTACAACTAGGAATTAGAATGCTATAATAAACAGGGGGACGGATAAAACTCAAACAAAGTAGCATCATAATCACTAAGATGATTAACATAATGTGCAATTTGGGGTTAAAAATGTAGAAATAACAAAAATAGACAGGATGTTTGGATAAAAAAAGACTAATGTAACGAATAATTGTTTATGCAATCAGGGATTAAATATGTAGAAATAGTAAAACAACATGAATAAACAGGAAGTTTAGATAAGAAAGGCGATGGGATGGTCATTACTAAAAGAAATACCTGTCTATGATGGCCGTGGCAGGGACAGGGGTTGGACGTATTTCTTTTGGATACAAAGCGTGGGTTTGAGATTTTGGATAGCTAGTGCCTCCCTTTGATAGGTTTGATTGAATCTTGTATATTGATTTGAAGGATTTTTCGAAAGGCGCTGAATGTTCCGAATTGACCAGATGTTCTGTCACCGAACTATATACACGTTTTTGGTCTCCTTTTATTGGCCAGACGGGATAGTGTTCACGAGCGCGTTTTTCAATTCGGCGCATGGTACGGCCAACGTACTCAGCTCAACACGAGCAAGTAAACTGGTATATGCACGCTGAAGTGACCCAATGCGACAGCTTCTATTTCGCGTTTTGGCTGAACAGTTTCTTGCAGGAAAATGTCAGCCGTAGGCTCGCAGTGAAGTATGTTTTCCCCAGCGATTTGCAGAGGGATTTACGAAGGATTTCTGCTTCAATATCACTTTAGAAGTCTTGATTAAGCAGAAGTATTTTCTTTGGAACGGATTGTAATTGTTCGGAAGTCTTCTTAGATTTGAGATTCTTGTCTATGAATCTATGCGGGAAACCGTTTTCCATCAGGGTTTTTCGGAGATTACGCAGTTCTTCTTCAATCACTTCCTCTTTGCATATCTTCCGTATCCTCGAGGAAAGAGCCTATATCAGGTTCCTCTTTCTGCTTAAGGGCGCGAAGCTTTTCGAGGACAAATTTTACATGTATATGATTGGTCTTATGAATTATTTTTCAAATATAATCACGATTTTACAGTTTATGAAAAGGAATCGTTCTAAAAAGGCTATTTTCTACGCTGTTCATTTCTTTTCCTTATGACCAAAACGTTTTTCCTCATGAATGTTATGCAAAGGAGCCTAATAAATTTTATTGTTTTACGGATGACTACTGTTATTTGCTTTAGTAGTTAGTTAAGCACAACTAAAATTGTCTGCTTGAATGTCTTTGTCTTTCACTTCTAAAGCTACCGATTCAAAGTGTACCGGTGAACCAGACGGAATAACTTGTCCAATTTATAACTTCTTATGTCCTTTACTGTTGGCAATATATTTAATGATCGCAGGAATACTTCTGATCAATTTACTAATCGCTATTTTCAGGTATTATATATTTTTATTACATAACTTCATTATTATTTTCAAATGTTGGTTTTGTAGGGATTTGGTTTGATTGTATGGAGGATTTAATCATGAGCTGACATCAGTTAGAGAACCACTGGAAAACCTGGGAGTACTGGACAGCTGTTTCGTCCTAGTTTGGGACTCCTCAGCAGTACGCACCCACCGGGGTTCGAACCCAGGACCTTCTGGTTACAAGGCGAGCTCGTAGACCATTGAGCCACTGGGACCCGATCCAATGGTTCTTGAATTCTAACTTCTGCCAATTCACGACATAGCGCGGCCACTTCGCAATGTCTTCTTCGATGAGTTACTGCCTCATCCTCGACCTGCTGTACCCTACTGGTCACGGCTTCCCACTAGAACCCCAGGTTAACTACCTGAATAGGGCCAGTCGCTACAAAACCAACATTTGAAAATTAATCTGATGCTCACTAGCGACTGGCCCTATTCAGGCAGTTAACCTGGGGTTCTAGTGGGAAGCCGTGACCAGTAGGGTACAGCAGGTCGAGGATGAGGCAGTAACTCATCGAAGAAGACATTGCGAAGTGGCCGCGCTATGTCGTGAATTGGCAGAAGTTAGAATTCAAGAACCATTGGATCGGGTCCCAGTGGCTCAATGGTCTACGAGCTCGCCTTGTAACCAGAAGGTCCTGGGTTCGAACCCCGGTGGGTGCGTACTGCTGAGGAGTCCCAAACTAGGACGAAACAGCTGTCCAGTACTCCCAGGTTTTCCAGTGGTTCTCTAACTGATGTCAGCTCATGATTAAATCCTCCATACATTCATTATTATTAGTAATTTTTATCTTATAAAAAAATATACCTCAGTGACATAAACTACTAATTGATGTGTGTAGCTAGAAAGTATTCAATGAGTTGGTTCAAAGTGACATAGAGTATTACTAGTGATCCCGACTTCAAATGCGTAGAACAACTTTATAGTCTTTCAAACATTGTAATCTAACTAACAAACCCCATTGTTTAAACTAATTAGTTTACAAGATGCCATATCCGTCACCAGTATAAGTCATCTTACTATGTTGCTTGTGATTTTGATTATTACAAATTATCAGTTTATAGACTAAAGCTTAGTGGATTTTCACCTAGAACTGTATAATTTATCTGGAAGTGTTTGTGTGCATTGTTACTATTGAGATGTACTCAGAGTTTCCATTGTTTGTTCAGGATTAATAGTCTAATGCTTCCAGACATAATTAATGAAGCGCTTATATAAAAGGTGTATAGTACAGAATGCAAAAGGAAAGGAATCTTTCTATGAATACTTCGATGAAATACAGCAAGGATTTAATAAGCCTGGAAATGGCTGTGTGACCAGTCACCAAAGATTTCTGGCTACTGATTTCTGGCGTCTGAAAAAACCAATCATTGTGAAATACATCTTCCTGAATGGCTCAAACGTATAGTCATGCACTTCATAAATTGATGTCATGTTTTAGTTTGAACACTTTGCCGAATGGATCCTATTTCGCAAGACATTGCTGGTCATGGATAACAATGGTTAGGCATATTTAATACATGTCCCAGTCATCTCAGTTGATGAAGCTTCTGAAACTTATCGACTGACATCCTCTGAATATCAGATACTTAAACCTTAACTTCATTACTAAAGAATATATTTAACACTTCCATGTAGCCATTTCCAGTGTTACACACAGATCTGAGTGGAATTTCATTCTGAAATTACTAATAGCGTTCAATAAATTGCTAATTCAGTCATTTAGATTCCTATAAATAGCTTTAATTCCCCTGATCTGAACACATTTAGTTGTATTAGATGAGGCAACCCCAGCTACTCTCCATACGAGAGAGGTAACCATTCTAATCGACTTTGCATACTGTGGTTAAACATTACTTCTGGAAAGATAATCAGCCTACCAGTCTTCTGTGATGAATGGTTTATTGATTGAAAGTGATACTCTTGACTAGAAATGTAAACCAGTCCAAATTGAGTGGGTAATGATGACATCCCATTTCTGACATCTTGCAGATTCATTAAATCTTCATCATGTTTCATCTAAAATTGATAGATTTATAAGTGTGAAGAGATCTCGTTATCCTTGTTCATAATAAGAATGCTCGGCTAAAGAAAATTACTCAAGATATGTAGATTTAATTTATTTGTAAAACTTAGGCACTATGGTAGTAAGTAATTCCATATTAGTTTGTTTATTAGATGTATTACACAGTCAGTGAAACAGTATTACTTACTGGATGATGTTTCAAACGCAACTCTTTATTGTTCATAATCATTTCATCAATTATAATCACACGACTTTGAATCTTGAGTTTAATAGTTTTCTTTGTTCCCTCCTATTTGGTAGGCAGGAATAAAAGTGGCTGGCATTCAAACCACCCACAAAATCAATTAGAAACAAGCTTTGTCGTTTAAGGGATCAATCCTGTGGAGCCCTTAAACAAAACAATTTAGTTCATTTAATACACCGCCTGCAATGATTGTCAGGTCAAATACATAGGTCAAACAAGGAAAACAGGGGCAGTCACACTAGCCGAGCACAAAAACCTAGCAAAATGTAGATTAGTTGACCCGAATAAGATAAGAAGTCTAGAGAATAGTTCAGCCATAGCATTACATGCAGTCACACACAACCATTCAGTAGGATGGGATAGGATGACAATTTTTAAAATCTAATATCATAGGGTATAGGGAGAGATTGATAACAGAAGCTTTGTTTATCAAATCAACTTCAGCACCTGTCCACTCAGACATCTGGAAAATTCGACTATTCCAACGACGACAAATAGGAGAGAACAAATTAAACTATAAAACTCAAGTTCCAAAGTCGTGTAATTATAATTGATGAAATGATTGTGAACAATAAATTGTGTTTGAAACATTGTCATCCAGTAAATAATATAACTGTTTCACTGTGTGATACATCTAATAAACAAACTAATATGGAGTATGTGGATTTTTTCAATCGTTACGTAATGACAAAGTATATAGGAATAGGATATGTAATCACGCGGAAATAAATTCAGATAAAACTAATAACTGAGTGATAAAAAGCCGTTATGGTTGACATAATAAATTTACACCAATAACTTAACCATTCAAAACGAAACTGGGTGTGAGTAGATAGTGACAAGAATCATTACTATTTTGAAAGATGGTAGTATTTCAAATGAAAATAAACAGGAGATTACGGATTTGACAGTTATCTGTATTATAGGATAATATTTCAAAAGAAATACTATATTTCCCGAACCGATTACCGTGGACACGTTTTGATCGAAGTACTTCTGAGCCTTTTGAATTATATTATATAACACTCCATTTCATGATTGAGTTCGTCAGGAAGCAGGACAGGTTATAAGAACCGCCGAGGATAAGTTGGCACCGTAAAGTAGTTTTGTTCTAACTTGACAAGGCTGAGAAATGGTCAGCAGTGAAAGCATAAGGGGCAGACGTCAAGCTGGTCAGTGGACAAGATGACTGACTCAACACCTTTCATTTTGTCGACATAGTTTGTCTGGATAACATACACTGAAACTGATATAAGTATTAAACTTGGGCACTGTGGTAGAGTATATCTCCATTATGGATAGGAATCTATCACACAGTGCTGTTATACAGTAATATTTACTGATGTCGTTTCGAGCACAAATTATTGCCACTCATAATCCTATCAAGTTACTCACACAACTTTTTCCTTCATTTATATACATGAGTAGAAATGATGATTAGACATTTGAATAAAATCAATATAGAATAGTGTACATCCAGAAATAGTAATATAACAGTTTGAACAATGCAAGAACTACAGTTTAAAAAGCTTTTTCCTGAATTAATTTAAAAAAATATAACAGTTATTGATCAAATACAATCAGATGGAAAATAAGATGTAGGATGTACGTAGAATTCTCGATGAAGCAGGAATTAGGGTGGCATTCAAACATACAAACTTATTCAGAGACAAGCTCTGTAAGCTAAAAACCCAGTGGACCCAATTAAACAAAATAAAATACTCTACAAAATACCTTGCAATGACTGTGAGTTATGTCAACTACATAGGTCAAACTAGTACGTCGGAGGTAGTGAGATTGTCCGTACATAAGAATTTAGCGAAGTTAAGAATGGTTGACCCCACCCGAGAAGATAAGTAATTTAGAAAAAAGCTCAATGATTGCACTGCAAGCATTAACGCACAATAGCACAATTGGGTGGGAGAGGATTGAAATTCTAAGTAGTACATGGAGTAAGAGATTAGTTACTGAATCCTGCCTGGTCCATTGAGTCTACACCCAACACATGCAACAGAAATGGCTCGAAGCAAATACCAGAGATATGGAAGATATTATTACCGCCAGTCAGTCAAATCAGAGGAAGATAACAAATGATCTCAAATTCTATTTCAATTCAAGCACATCACAACATTCTAACAAGTTACTTATTACTGATGACTATAAAACACTCGTCTTATTTCCCATCTGATTGTAATTGATCAGTAACACTCGTATTATTATTTCTAAATGTACATTATCTCACATTAATTGTATCCAAATATGTAGTCAATTCCACACATGTATATAAATGAAGGAAAAAGTTGTGTGAGTAACTTGATAGGATTATGAGTGGCAATAATTTGTGCTCGAAACGATATCAGTAAATATTACTGTATAACAGCACTGTGTGATTTATCAAAATAAATTCCTGTCTATAATGGAGATACAGTGGAACTCCTGATATTATAAAGAAAATTCTTATTTTTTAGAACTAGAGAAATCTGAGTGAACAATTGTCTTCATGAAATGCTTTTAAATGTTCTACAATTATAAATTCATAAATATTAGAATACAGTAACCAGTGAACGGAAATGAAGATTATATCAGGATCTATATTGAGATATAAGTATAAAGTGGAATATTGGCTTGTTGGTTAATACTGTCAACTGATTGCATATAAAACTTACAGTAATTACAAAAACACGATGAAATGTGAA